AGCCTAGTAGTCATCAAGGGCACTGGGCGAATGCCAGATCAAATTAAGCCTGACACACACGGAGGCTGATTCCCTCGCTGTCCCTTCTGATGTACGCGGGCAAGAGGGTTCCCGAAGGCTCCAACTGGGACGATTTTATCTCGACCAGTTTTGAGTCTGCATTGAGAAAAATAAATGACTCAAAGGTTGAGGAAGGTTTACATTACTTGTGGGGACTTTGCATTCTTGCGTTGTCCTTCCTGTGTTTAGGATGATAAGGTTAATGTAAGCCCAACAACAAACAGAAATTTATTTTTGCACATCGGATAAAATGCTTTTTACTTAAATGTGTCATTTATATGAAAAAAAGACTTCTATTATGGTCTCAACTTCCAAGTGACATTGCCGTCACATGGTGCATACGCACTGCTGGGCGCACTTAACCGAATTTCTTTTAAAGATCAACATTTGTTAAAAGGATTATGGCATCGTTACAATCAGGAATGCATAATAACATAAATTAGTCTGCTCGATCCTTAAAATCACTCAAATCAGCTAATTGTGCTTTCTCGAAGACAAGGATGGCTTTTGAGTGCCTTGCAATGATTAGGAGACGGGTCAATCTACCATGTTTCCCATGTCCTCCAAAATACGTCCGTTGTGAAGTCCAATGCGTTTTACTTCAGCCCGCATTAACACAACCTAATTTGCTAAACCCAAAATGTTTAAACCTTATAAGTGGCTACCATCAAAGGACCTTCGATAAATGGAAGACGATGATAAAAACCTCGATGCATAGAAATACTGCACAAGGCTAGCAATGAACGAACCAGGATTTCACAAAAGAAAAACTTTGGCTATAAAAATTGTATCAGGTCAACTCCTACATCTCCTAACAACCATTCCCTCCTACGCACATCGATAATAAAATAAGTATGCGGGAGTTTGCAAGCCCCTTTGAGTACCTGACGTGCAGCTTAGTCATCTTCCCCCGTAAGTCTAATTAAGGGAAGCATCTGTTACAATTTAGATGACTTTTAGATACCATAATTACATTCTGATGTTATCCGTTTTTATTTTATAACGAGAGAGAGGGAGAGAGAGGGAGAGCTAGCGATGGAGTGTTTAAAACACTGCGCTTCGAGTGTGGTCCGCCCAGCGCTCGATTCTTAAATGAAACGCTCGTGAAGGCATTACCCTCTTCTATCACATTACATTCAAAATAACAAATTCGAGTAATTTGTTAGGAACTGCTCTTCTGAACTAAAGGTTTGAATTTACGGTCGATGAAAACTTCATCGGTAAATCGCTTCAGAATGGGCTTGATGCGAAAACTTAGGCGCAATGCTCCGAACGCTCAGAAAATTCGATTCTATATTGTGCAATAAATTTGTGCTGCGAAGAAGATAGCAGTAAGGCTGGAGGTGAATGGTCATTGAATGAGACAACAGGCGCACGTAAACATCACTATGGTAACGCATGCATCGGGTGCAAATTTGTGGAGTTCAAAGCGCTAAAATTAGATGCAGTCGACTCTTAAGATAGCATTTTTTAGGACCGAAAATGTGTAAATGAGAAAATAATCGCCTGAAGAGAGGTAAGTTAGGCTTCCCTAAGGTCTTTGTAGTGGATTCATTTAAGGTCTAGCAAAGGAATATCGCAAGTGTTCAACTCGTTCCTATGCGTGCAGTACGGTTAGACGTTGCAGCTTCGTCAGCAGGAGAGAAGTTTGACACAAACCTTGCATATTTTGCAAGATTATAAAGGAAGAGGTTGGTGTACTCCGGGTGACATAAAGAGCTTAGGTTTGCAGTTGAGGCAAGTTCTTTTCGGACAAACTATGTGGTTGCACAACTACAGCATCTAACTTATTTAAAATTGTAAACTACGTATTGAAAAGCAAACTAATTAGTCGAAATATTCATAGGTTTAAGCGAATACCTTGAACCTGGTTATTCCACCAGAATCCCTTCATTTTTTGACCACCACAACCACATTGATGTGAACCCCATTAGGTGACATAACAAGGCTCAAACCCTGCAGGCGAGGGAAGTAAGAAATCCAACTGAACAGTTGATTAATTTGTCGCAATATCAAAATCCTTCACAACGCCACCCACTTTTCCCCACTAACAAGGTCAGGACCAAAGAGGACGGAAACGCGTGTGTGTGTGTGTGCGTGGAAGAGATGGCAAGATTGTGCACCAAGACAATGGGAAACAATGCCCGGGCAGAAAGGAGGGGCGGGGGGAAATGCGAGAGATTTCAAGTGCGCGATAAAGCCTTGCCATTGTTAGGGTTGCCATGGTTGAGGTGTAGTCTGAAACAGGGCAATGGTGTTGTTACTCTTTTTGTAGGTTTTGTCTTGTCAAAGCGAGGGCATCTAATTCCACTTCCACCTCCATCTAGGACTGGTCCATCAGGGCAAGGCGTGGTCCTATTCAAATGACTTATTTCTTCTTCAAACGGCTTATCAACAGCTATTTCATTAATGTAATTTGAGGAAACCTGAAAAGCAATTTGGAATAGTGCACGAAGAAGAGCCTTGACCCATGCTAATACCTAAGACGCTTCCAAAGATGGCAAAATGACCGCATAGTATAGTCCTGCAAGAAACTGTAGTCCCTGTTAGGGTTAACACCAGTCAGGAGACGGCAACGCTGATTAAAATGAAGAGCCTTGGGTTTTATCTCATTATACTACTTTTTGGAAGATGTCTCAAGATAAGCCGTCATTGCCCAATACGCCCATCCCTTAACGAATCTGCTAATTGGAGACCAAACGTGGACAATCAGGTTATAACAAAAACGGGATTCTATAAAACAACGTCTACTCTACTAAACTTACACCCTTAAATATTGTAAATTGTATCAATTGGGCAGCTTTACAAAATATGTAATAAATCTACGTGATTAGGAGAGGGCAAAAAGTAAACCAATAAGAAAACTTGTGGATAGTAAGTTACCATCTCTGACCTTTGCTATTGAACCACAATGAAAGAAGTTAGATGGATGAGACGAAAAAGCTACCATGAAATGGAGAGAGGTCACAGGAGGATGATGTTGAAGGCGAAAGAGGAGGAATAGAAAACTTTCCGGTTAAATGCGCAGATTGATATGATCCTGCTTTTCTGCTCACGGGCGCGAGGGAGAGAGAGGAAGAGAGAACCAGGGAGGCCGAGGCTGAAGAGGAGGAGGAGGAGGAGGAGAAAGGGAGAAGAGTTGCGCTGCTGATCCTAGCTGATCGACAAGTCTGTCAAAAGGCAGGATAGAGGGGAAACGAGGCGAGTGGAGAGTTGGTTGTCTGGTGGGTGGATGGATGGATGGGTGGGTGGGTGGGTTAAACGCAAAAAAAAACAGACAGAGCGAGAGATACAGGCTGAACGATAAGGAAGAACACACACAGGCAGCTTGAGGGAGGCAGAGAGAGACCATGATGCCTGGGGGCGGTGAGGGGTGAGAGATGGACAGGCCGTGATAGGGACAACGACAACGTCTAGTATGTTCGCAATAAAGACCTCTGAGCGAGAAAGAGAAATAGATGGGGAGAGAGAGAGAAGCAGAGCAGACTGACAGCATCGCTTATCGTGTTCTGTTATCTCTTTTCCTCCTCCACTTTCCTTGTTTTTGTGCGTATGCGCATACGAATACACGCGCGCACATTCTGACCTTCCCGATTTAGTCTTTCTGTCGCTGTTGCTGCTGTTGTCACGCTTAATGAACACAGAGTCTGTCCTTTTACCTTAAAATGCCGAATTCTATAAAGGTTGAAATGTATTGAATGGAAACTGTATAAATTCATCCACTGTTGCTGCTATAAATAAGATGTTTATCACCAGTAACTCAATTAAGAAGGACATCGTTAATCAGCAACGTTGTAACAAGATGGCCAAACATTTGAATATAAGACCATACACGCAGCTACTGGCAGACACAGCATTATGTATGCAATAACAAAGTGCTCAAAAGCTTAGTAATCGGTGGAAATAAGAAAACAACGGCTGCTATTTGGATGAATGACGTGGAGATAGGAAATAAGTAGGGCATTTACTGGAGTGAAGCCCAGAGTAATAGACACAACACAATCTTTGGTTTAAATTTTGCTTTGTAGGAGAAAGGGAGAGCTTCATTCGAAGGGAGTGTAAGTGGAGTGCAAGGACCCTCTCCTGGCCTAGCATGGGTACCCTTGATGTGCTTCTACTTCTTTTGTTCACACCTATATAGGTTTGCCTAGTGAATCATCGGCGAATAATCCTTCTCCTAAGAAGATTGAAATGGAAGACGACGGAAGTGGGGAAGAAGGTGTTGCATTAAGCATTTTAACACTTTTGAGGGTAGTCACGTTCTAAGGCTTCTCTTCGGCTAATAATAAGGCATGTAACTGTGGAAAATGGATCATTCTATGTGTGCACCCAAAAGGTGAGCTAAGTACCGTGGGCAGCCAATGATAAAATCAAATAAGAACCAAAATGTACAACACCAATCGAGGAGGAACACCCACTTTAAGAAAAATTCCAAAAATTGTCCTGAAATAAGCAAAGGGGATTAGCACTTAAAAATTTATTTTATTCTAGTTAACCGATGGAACTCTAAAGGTCCTCTGATCACACTTGCTTAGGGGGCTTGACCTAAGAGGTAAGCCTACGACACCCAAGCAGGCAATACATATTCTTTCAGAGTATAATTATTTTTTTTGCCCTTAGAAGTTTTCTACCTTTACAACTAACTAAAGAAACATGGCAGCACAAAAATAGGCTAAGATAACACGAAGACTAAAAACGGACTTTGAGAATGGCAACAAGTAATAGGGTAGAAAATATGCTTTGGTTTAAAACCAATTTACACTCTAACAAGATCTTTACTATTTCCATACTATTTCATAATAAATTAAACTTCTTGATCTGTTTGAATGGATCAAGCCGAGAATCGAGAAAAGGGATATTGACACTAAAATGGCATTCAAGTTGATCTATCTTGACGCGGGTGATATGGTTGCATTCGCAAGAGAGCTGAAGTTTGGAGTATGCCTGCACAGTACTCGTCGGTTGAAACCACCATCGCTGTGGAAGCCGAAGATTACTACAACCAGTCACAGTTTGCTTCGTGCCTGACCCACATGAAAAAGCTGCATTCAATGAGACCGACTGATCCCAAGGTTCTTTCATGATATATTATACCCTCATAACGGCATTTCTCGACGTTTGTGTAACTTGTATCGTTTCTAACTTTTAGGTTTTAGCGAACAAGGCTCTCATAGAATTTATCTACCAGAAGAAGTTGACATGCTCAGATGAATACCTAGCACAGCTTCAAAAGGCCGCTACCCTTGCTGGTTCCCCTCTTCTGGTGACCGGTAGCTCAGATGTCCGCGTTGCTGTAAGGCCAGTTGGTCCTACAGCTGAACCATCTGTAATTTCTATGCATTACAATTATGCTCTCGTTCTGTTCCACCAAAGACAGTATGTGTGGGCAGAACGCATGCTTGCCAGCCTACTCGGCATAATTACGGCAGATGCTCCACCTTCTTCAATTGAATTTCCCTTGGGTGCGGGGGCTCTCCTTTCTCAGAGGTGCTTCCTCCTTTGGATGGACTTGTGCTTTTGTCTTCAAAGACCTCGACGAGTCTTCGAGTTTGCCTGTGAGTTAGTCCTTCCTTTGAGCTAAGCCGTACAAGTTCTTTACTTCGCTTCCTTATTTGTATGAGGATGTATGTACTCTTGGATAGTATAATTCTCTTCTCACATTACTGTACCTCTATTTAGCGTATTGGCTGCAGCAGCTGAATTCAGGTGATGAAAGTGTCAGAAAGCCCGTAGAGGTAGAAGTGCTGGATATGCTTCGGGCGATTGCCCGTCCTCTACGCGTTTTTCATTTTCGAGCATGCCTAATGACTGGGCAGATCAAAATTGCTCAAGAAGCTGCCAGCCAGCTCTCTCAGTCAGATGATGACCTTGGTAATAAGAGTTGGGACACTTCCAAGAGCCTTGATTATGCTTGCGCCCAGCTCTCGTATCTGGAGGTATGTGTATTTTAAATCCTTTTAAAATTAATACATGAGTTCGTGATGTACTTGCGTAGCCTTACTTTTGAGGCGAATTGCGTGCTTTTTTGGTGGATGTTCGTTGGTGACCCCTTTTCATTCTGAATCCCTGTTAGGCTGTTGGCAGTGTTCAGATTAGCTCTGAGGACTTTATGAGGAATAAGATTTAGGGCAATGCATGTGTCATAGCTATACAAAGATAAGGCAAGTATTATGGCATGCATGCCATGGACAGAACTCTGTCTCGAGTAAACGCATTCTACTGGTAGTACACTGATTTTGCTTTTATGAGCGGGAATTCTTTTTCGAATTACCATTAAATTCTTGGCAAAGTTTGAGCAATAGGACGGTGTTCAATATATTTGTCGAGTTGCCGTGCTTCATCTCAAAGATGTCATTATCTGAATGTGGTATGGCATCGCAACATACCTAAATAGGCTTGAAATGTTTACTTTTAGGGGATCTAAAAGTCCGTTTTTATTGTTGAGTCAATAAGACGTTTAACACTGCTGACCTAGTTTTTAGAATAAATCGGTCAACAACCTCGTCATCTCGACAATATTAGTCTTTGTGCGTTACATTCTTCAACTCTTTCTCCACAACTTTCCGAGCTTAGTTAGATGGGAAATGATCAGTGGCGTAGCATGAGACTCCTCAAATGAACGATTCTGTTTTCAACCATAAAATTGCGTGTTGCGTTTGCGATCTTACCACTTGAATTATGCTATACATCTGGAAGATTTGAGACATCGATATTTTGTTGGTCTACCGAGCTATTGAAGTCAATTTCTTCCCTTCTGTGGAGTAAATTGATCGATAACCTAACGATGATTTGTTGTTGGCAAAGTGTTCCTTATAAGTTGAGCGAATGACGGAGGCGTATGGTATGATATCGTCTGAAAACTAAATCCTCATTACAAAACGCCTGTCATTTCGTTATTGCAGTCTGGAACGATCGATTTGGAATTATATTAAGGCAACGCTTTCAATCGGGCTCACAGATTCACTAGGACCTGTATGAAGTGCATTCCTTGGAATGAGGCATCAGTCCTTTCCAAAAGGTGGACTCCATTCAGATTTTTCCCCTTTCAGCAAGATCATACCAAAACCGTTAAGCGCTTGAATGCACTCCTTCCTACCGCATCGACCTCATCGTCCATCTCCGTTGATCAAGAACTCCCTCTGGTGTGGAACAATCTGTCTCTCACCTACTTCCGCGCCGGCTACCTCGGCCTGGCTATGTTGGAGGCGCGTGCTGCTCTCCGGCACACCAAAAGCTTGGCGGATGAAGTGACTGCAGCAGCTACTGAAGTCGGGCGATTGGTCAACTGCACGCCTCTGTACCAGTTGGGCGCGAGTCGGCACTATGAGTTGCTCTACAACACAGGTGTCCAACTCCTCCTTGGGCAAAAAAACCTAGAAACTGCATTCAGTGCTCTTCTTGCAGTGGTCAAAGTGTATCCTCGCAATCCGCGTCTGTGGCTTCGGCTTGCTGAGTGTTGTGTCAAGGTGCATAGGTGCGTCCTTGTCCCATGTATTTAGAAAAAATCGCTTAAAATGGTTTGTTTAAACATTCTAAAATGAGACAGTACAAATTTAATTTGCTGGGATTAACTGATTTGAAAGCCGTGTTAGTGTTGTTACTTATTCCCTTTCGTCGTTTAATGCAAATATTAATGACTTTCGCCAACTACCTCCACACTATTTTTGTTTTACGCTTGTATAGTCTATCTTGTTTTTCATGGGGCCAAAGTGTGATCGAGTACGTTCAATATTTCATAATATCAAGTTGATACTTAAGCCGGATTTTTGACAAGTATCCCATAAGTTTGAGAATTAATTTAATGTTGTGGACAAAGGAGAGAGCAAGGTTAGGTAGAACTGTCTGAAGCTCCTTTAGGAAAGAAGCTTAAGTGAATCCCGATTTGATAACATAGATATTGCTAAAATTTGCTAATTATTTTTTGGTGCTTCTACTGTCGTTGACGTATGACTCAGTTTCTTCCCATCCCCTCAACTATCCAGGCTTTTGGAATCCCAACATCTGAGCCACTAAAAAGTGAAGTACAGCATTTCACATTACTAATTCTTCTTGCTTAGCACATCCATGAAGATGGTTGTTGGTTGTTTCTCATACCATGTAGACTTTATATATGCCCCAAGTGATGCCGTCTTACTAGCGGGTCAAATACTGTGGTTCTCTCCAAGTCTTCCTCACGCATCACGAAAGCATTCGGAAATCCTTTTTCATTCCTCAGCAAAGTGGCATAGTTAAGACGCAAAGTCATTTTATTGGTCAAAATATTTTCGTATATCTTTTTAAAACCACCTTTATAGTGATTCCCACTACTTCCGAGCATACTTTCTGTTTCTCTTGTTCACAACCTGCAAAAGTTGCACGACGGGTCTCAAAGCAATGGGGCGACGCCGAATTATTTGCAGGCAAATAAATTGATGTTGTCAGTTCGGCTCTCTTCTTTTCTTGCGCCCTCTGGTGCGTAAGTGATCCGATTGTCCGCTGATATAGTCAAATTTTTATGCGTAAATAACTTTGGAACTGTTTTATCCGATAGGAAAGGTCGAAGTTATCTGTATCTTTTTGTCCAAATAAACTGTGTTTGTCTCTTTCGAATGCTTGCGTGAGCAGTGAGGTGGAAGCACTGCGGAGAAAGTTTGAACACAGCTATTATATCTGTCAGTACTATGCTAATTGTGACTGTGGAAAAATTCAGATTTTTTGTTTTTCCTTTCACCCCATAAACAGAGTGAAGGGCGAATTAATTCTAACGTAGTGTATCAAGCGGTTTCTTGGTTTACTGGGATTCAGGAATAGGGCTGTCGTGAGCTGATGCATAGTGTGATGAGCTGGAAGGAACCACGGAAGCCGCGATCAATTCGCGTGTAGGATAATCAACACTCACTTGACAGTCGTTCTGTTAGCATCGATTAGGTCTCCAGATTTATACTGAACTTCCCACTGTTGCCAATTTTTATGTCTGGAGGGAATAAGTTTCGAATGTCTCCTCCATCTTTTAGGCCTAATAACCTGATCGAATGGAAGGCGGAGTCTCGAGCATCTTGTCTACAACGCGTGGTGGGCGAAGGCGCTGCTCGAAAACTAATTCTTGGAACTGATGAGGGGTCGGTGAGTTTGATTCAGTTTTTTTTCCTTGGGAAACCACTCTACTTTTTGGTGCAAAGTTAATTCCTGTCCCTACTCGTTTTTTCCCATTCAGCCTGCATTTGTATTCTAAGGAGTTACTTCTTCAAAATAAACTTACAGCCGTCGTGGTTGCACTTTGGTGTGCCGTACAGTTGGTGTTGAAGGTTTCCTCAACCGTTATTAAGTCCCAAATTTATCAAGCTTTTATGGAAAATGCAAAAAGTTCGCATGTTTGTATGGCCACTATTTAAAACGCTTCTACCTTATCATGCTTACTATTATTTTTATTATATTAAGTACAAATGTTTAATTCTGTTGTTGCTTTTGAAACTTCAAAACGCTTTGTAGAACTAACTTTTCCATTTTACTCAAGAAGCATTGTTAGTTTTTTTACCAATGTCTCTCCTAGCTGCAACATTTCGGCTATGCTAAATGGCATGTCCATCAGTGAATAAGGGTAATCGTGATCTCTTAAGCGAATCTTGAAATAACATAACGTCAGAGTAAAAGCGAGCTCTCTGCTGTCACTTTCATCTATTACCGCTGGCTTTGGAATGTTGAGTCGACTTGTCTTCCCCAATCACATACTTTTTCAAAACGAATAACTTAATATAGTTTTCGCATAGGGGCTGTGCTTTTGCAAGTACTACTTAAAATTCCTGTTTTCGAGGAGCTCGAGGGACCTCACTTTCTTGCTTGGCTTTTCTAATGTCCCTATTCTTCCAAATGCTGAATCCCTCCATTTATCGAAGTTACGTTCTATCCCATATAGTGTAAATAAGCGTAACTCTTAAGCACTGAGGCAAACTCGAACATAGCATATCCATTCGATGAACTGTCTCTTTATTTATGCATTTCGAAATTTGATATAGCAAAATGGTTAGTTTGTCCTTCATTCCTTACGCCTCATGCATTAAAGTCGCTTATAAACCATAGTTATGTTTGTAATGAGTAGGAAGTCTTTTTAGTTAGAATAAGAAATTTTAGAGTTTCCATCGATGTTGCTTTAGTTCCACATTTCTACTACCATTGCTACCCGTATTCTACCGTGATCAGCACTTTTCGAAAGTGTTTAACCTTGAAATAGCCCTTATATCTTTAATGCTTCTGTGATGCTTTTAGAGCCTCATCTACTATCTCATTCTATGCTTTTGAATTTAATTCCTTCATCAGCAAAGGTAGCTTTTAAGTCTCGTTTTTGTCGCAAAAATGATTTTTTTTCGTATGTCAACGGTGAGCTTAATGGAGCTCGTTATTTGATCTAAATGGGTCCAAACGCCTTAGTTCTGTTCATTAATGCTACAGTACTATTTGCCAGCCCTTGTGTGCATGTACGTTATCCGCTTGTCATTTGCACTTCCTTTAGCAGAAACCTTCAAGAAATGAATTGACACCAGCATCAGAGGCGAATCTGAGTCTAGAATTTGCTGCACAATGCCTTCGAAACGCTGCTTTCCTACTTCCCAGGCCGCCGATAGATTTAAATGCCTCCACTGCGTCCTCTGACCAATTGCCTGTTGACCGACTGCGCTCTGCTCTCCTCAATTGGGCTACATTGCAGGTAACACCCATTTCTCTCTGCTCCCTTGCTTAATTTGCTGCACTGAGGAGACGAGAGGTCCGGTAAATCAGAATTTTTTTAAGATGGGCCCATTTTCGTCAACATTTATGAGAGGTCATTAAACTTAAGATGGGCGGATCGTCCCCCTCCTCTCCTACCTTAATTTCCGCCACTTCCCCTTGGAGATTGTGGGTCCTAGCACTTTGACTGAATAAAGAGTTCCATCCCTGCACCGGTCTGTGTTCTAGTTCTTTTGAAAGGTGTGCTTCTAACGTTAAACCGTACAACGTTGACTTTTGATTGATTGATTTGCTCCTACCTGTAAGGATGCACCGCAGTAATTAGTACGACTTGGTATAATTGAATAGTAACTAAATTTGCTCCCTACTTTTTTAAATTTTCCGTATTCTTCGCGGTTTTCGGAGTCACTACTTGACTCTAGCAGGTTCAATGCGTTGGTGTGTTTGAGTCCAAAATGAAAGTCGGCTCCTTTTTAAGCCTTACTGATTTGTTCACTGTTTCAGGGGATCATGAATGTGAGGTTGATGGGTCCTCTTCATGCTCCCTCAATTTTTCATACCAAGACCATTGGTTGCTCGTACTTCACTTTATCCTACTAAGTATGCTTTTAATGACATTGTCATCGAGGCAACTTATACCACTCCGATAAGTGGATATTGAGAATGCTTTTCTCTTAGTAGCATGCATCTGCCTTCCAAGGGCGTAGCTCTGTAATGACTTGAAAGGACTAAGGCTTAACTTATCTTTTTGTCCCAGGCCATCCAAGTGCCACCATCCAGTCAACCATTGTGCGGGATGGCGCTGCTGCAGGTGATCTCCGCAGTTCTCTTGACCAGTGCTTATGTTGCGCTTTGTCTTGAGGATCCCGTAGAAGCTATCTACTACGCTGAACAGCTCCTCTCCGTTGGTCCTTCGTCGCCGCGACCCGTCACCGGTACCATAGACAACACCTTCGTTTGGATTGGTCTCATCGCTCCACCTGCACATCGCTACCTTGCAAAGATGTATCTTGCGGAGGCTCGAATCGCCATGGATGAGTGAGTTTCTAGAAATAATATGAAAAACATAATAATATCTACATATACTGTTCCCTTCCTCCAGAGTCACAGAGGCCAGCATGAGCTTGCTCTCTAAGGACTGTGTCACCTCGGTGGAACGCGCTTCTGCCCTTCCTGTACACGCTCTACGCTCCTACGCTTTTCTTCAACGCGAATGCGCTTGCCTTTCGCCTGCCTTTCTTCTACCTCAAACACACTCGCTTTGTGGTCTTCGTACCGATGCAGTTGCAAATACTACCACTAGTGCAGGAACAAAGAGCTCCAACAGCGACCTGCAGCGTCTCATCCAACTTCATAAGGAGCAATGCGAAGTTGAGCCTCTACTCTGTCAGTCTATCAACCCCAAGAGCCCCGATTTCCCTTATTTTGTGGATCAAGCTATTGGAGTACTATTGTACAACATGGCGGTGTGTTTTGCGGTGCGTGGAGACCTATCTAGATCGCGGCATCTACTGGAAAATGCCGCACCCTCCCTTCTAGTTAACTTTCTGGACCCTGGCTCTCGCGCACCGGTTCGTCATGGGAGCGAGGAGCACCAACGCTTGCTCTACCCAACTGACGCAACGATAGGTGGTATATCGCGCCTGCTAACCACTCACCACCTCCCTAGACAGTTTTTGTTACTGTGGTTGTACCTAGAAATGCGAGAGGATAGGGCCTCGTCGGCGGTGAACTTCTTAAGGGCACACATAGGCGACGTTGCGTTCAACAGCCACTTCTCTGATATGTCGATGAGAGAGCTGAGTGCTGATGGGGGAATGTTGGGCGAGGATGGAATCTCGACCGTGATGTTTGATGATGGTGGAGTGGAACGATTGGAGATGTCTACTAGGCCTTTGACCCGTCCTTTGTCGATGGCACCATTGAGGTCTGCCTCGTCTTCTCGTCCAATGCCTTTGCAAATTCAAGATCCCCCGCCATCATCGTCATCCAAATCTGCAGCGGCTCCATGCTGGACTGATGCGGATTGGCCTCCATTGCAAGAGTGGTAGTAGTAACCCTTCTTCCGCATTGTTTGTTACTGGATATTATTTTTAATTTCACGTTCTTAGAGTCTGTCTTGAAGACCGAACTAAGGGGATATGGAAAACGTTAGCACGAAACCTGATGGTGTGTATCCGTTGTGCCTTCAGTTCTTAAACTTGTGAAGTACGATACGGGTATTAATGGAAAATAGGGTTTTCAATAAAAACTAGAGGCAGCGGCGGAGGCATTTCTTCCATGATTCGTACAGTAGTCATGCATACTGCAACCTTCAAGGCGACAATGTCGGGCAGTGTAGAGCTGGGTGTGATTCTGTTCACATTGCAGATGATTACGGGCATTCTGTTGGCCCCTTTGACTATGAAGTAAATATTTGAGCCTGCAGTGTTATGGCGAAAGAGGAGGGGTTAGCACGTTATTTGTTGATAGAGGAGGGTCAATCTCAAGTTCACTACAGAGGCAGTGTGGCTAACAATAGGTACCAAGATCAGCGGTACGGAGTTTGAGTTACCAACATTGGAGACGTGAGTTATAGGAAGCTAGATATGGTCATGACATTAACGGTTGAGGGATACTTTGCATCTCTGATCAATAAACTGTCAGGCGTATAATGTGGGAGAGTACACCGTGCCGGCGGCACCGCGATGTCCTGCACATCTGGTAACTTGGCTGTTGCTTTCGTGGTCATCGCACTTTTACTGCATGAATTGACTTTTGGGACTGTAGCCAAACTACCGACCCGCCTACCAGAATGTAAGAACTCAGCTAAGTTCAATGTCCTCTGCAGTGTCCCGGAACTTCCCACTAGGTTGAAGACGACATCAAGGTGGGTTAAATGAATATATTCTAGAAGAAGAAAAGATTGCGGCTCAGACTGCTCTAAAGACCAACTAACGCGTACAATAACAAGGAGAACCCCAAAGCAGCCGCCAAACATCAGGGGTCACATAAACGAAGCAGTCCAGGTAGCAAAAACTTGGCAAGCAGCGGGTGTAGAAATCGTAAAATCGCCTTTTAATAAGTGACTTACGGGGACAGTATCCTTAATCTTCTCCATTGTTATTGTTCAATTTTCCATCCGGCTGCTTGTTGGGAGGCTGCTTTTGCTATGCTGAATTTATTGGGCATTATGGATGGATTATAAATGGCAGCACAGGACCAGGTGCAAAGGTGTCCCCACCGTCCATTCGGAGGCAGCGTGCGTCAAAGCCTAGAGAATGGCGTTCAAACTTACTTCTTGATCCTCATCAACAAGTAACATTCTAGGCAATTAAGATGTATTCCGAGCATAATTATAATACTTTGTTTATGCGACTCCCTGATTGGCGGCTGCTTTGGTGCAAGGCAGAATCTCCTCGCTACAATTCCTGTCTCCAGGTCCAAATGAATTTGTAATAGCAATAGTAATAGTCGATGATGACTGGCGATGTTGGCTCGTATGCGTATCCTTATGACACTGGATATATTGCGATGGCTAGCGCAGGAGGTGTACCGAGGAGAGCGCTGAGGACGCTGGTCAAAAGACGGGAAGGGCAATGAAATACTTTGTTTTTGTGACCATCTGAGGTTTGGCGGTTACTTTTGTATTAGATTTTGCCCTTATACGTGTGATCCGGCCTCCGAATTAAGCCAAGACCCGATCCTTTCTTACGTTCTTGGGCTACTTGTATTTTATCCAACATGATGTCTTCTATATGGTGAGGAATCTCGAGACGCTACAGTAATGCTTTGTAATGTGACGACATGATGTCTGACGATTACTTCGGTATTCACATTGCTATTGTATTTGTGGGCTGAGTTTCTTACCAAGCTAAGGTTCGGTTACTACTCATCCCCTAAAATGCCTGTATTTTTAGCTAAACTAGCTGCCAAACTGGCAAGGACAGAAAACGAAGCTAACCTTTTTAGCTGCTGCCCTAGCAAATGTCGGACATGACGCTACTCCGGATCTTCGTACGTACAGGAGTGTGTTTTATCCCGTATGCTCTGTTAACCATCTGATTACTTAAAAGATTTACAATGCTGATCTCAAAGTTGGCATTTTAAAATGTTTGCAAATTATAATACAAAAAAATATTGTGGAAATATTTTATTTATCTGGTCTATGATCAAATCTTAATTAGAGTGCTTATTTTGTTTCTACGCATATGTAATTCTGCGCAGAAGTTAAATTTTCGTCTCTTGTGAGTTGGTGTGGGCTGCTGGTGGGTTCAGGTTGAGTTGGTGGATAATACTGTTTAAGTAAATCTGCCTTGAATTTGCCCACCTGCTTGGACCGCACGCTATCCAAACGCATTTAGAGCGGTTTTAAATTCCCATTTTTTTAAGTCGATAATTGGAACTCTATTGAGATGTTCCTGGACTCTTTTCTTGGTTTTGAGTCGAACGATTTCATTTACTGTTCTTGTCTTTACTAATGCTTGAATCATCTTTTGCATAATCTCAGGAATTCTTGAAATTTCGCTTGATACTTTAGTGTCAATTACTGTCTGCGATTCCTCCTCAAGTTGGGCCTTGTTATTTATTTTAATCTTTCGCCTTCAGATGTATTATTCTAACTTATTGTATATGCTCGTCAAGGAGCAATGTCTCTAGCAGATGAACTTCTTGCTGACTTGGACGATGCTGGAGTCGCTGAAGATGAGGAAGATCCATTCACTTCTGCGAAGTTGGAGCTGGTGGACGCTAGTGTTGTTGACAATGGTGATATTGAAATGACCGATAGTTCCACGACTAATGGTGTGATTATTCCGGAGAACCTAGTGGGGCCACGGAAACCTGCGCACCTCTTTCATGCGCCAATGATCAGTGCACCCATATCTGCTTTTGCCAAATTAAGGAACAGTGAGAAGGTAGACATATGTCTGTTCTTCCTGATTTTGTTCCTTTTCTTCCAGCTTACCAGTGTTATGAGTCAAATCGACAAGTTTTCTAGACAGGAGAAGAGAACAAAGATTGTCGGTCCTGTTGAAGCCGATCCCGAGTACAACTGTATCGTTGAGTCGAATAATCTTATTGTCGAAATAGATAATGAAATAGGTAGGTGATCCTCCGTTGCCTACTATCACATGACCTTAGATATTATTCACAAGTACGCGCGAGACATTTACCAGCATCGCTTCCCAGAGCTGGAGTCTTTGGTTCCTCAACCCATGGACTACCTAAAAGTGATACTAGTGAGATGGACATTCTTTTCTCTTTAGCGTAAACCTCGTATATTACTTATTAAGGTCCTCGGTGGGTCCTTTCTAGTACCTTGTTCAGTTTATTTGTCAGTTATTTATTCATATGTGAGAAAATTGCGACTGTGTTTGATAGGTCAAATGAGATTTTGAGTGTTTTTTCAAGGTTCGCTGGTACATACTTTAGTCACTGTATGGCCTGGGTTTGGAATTTTTTTTCAAGCCTCCATAGCTTATGATGTTTCATTCTCTGAAATGTATAACTTTCTATCCAAACTGATATTGATCTGTGGGCGATTTCATCATCGAGTGTAGAAAACATTTCTTTTATGATTTGTGATATACTGTCAGCAAGAGGCTCCCGATGTTGTATCTCATTTTCTTATTTCACTAGCTTACGCTTTAGTCTCTTTGCAGATATGTGGTCCGTATCCCCTTCAAGATTTGTTAATTTGTGCAAATAGCAGTTATAGCTGCTTTGCTTACTGTAGGCTCTTGACAACGATATTTTGGAGCGCTCAAAGAATACCAACCTCTTAGCTTCTTTCCTCACTCCTGCCACAATCATGGTTGTCACGGTGACGGCGTCGACTACACAGGGCGTGCAGCTTGATCCAACAGCGCTGAATCGAGCAAAGGACGCTTGCGTAATGGCGATTGAACTTTTTGAGATGCGCAAGACTATTATGGACTATGTGGAATCTCGCATGTCTTTCATCTCGCCCAACGTAAGCATCCTCGTGGGTGCATCCACCGCCGCGAAACTCATGGGTGAGCGGGCCATTTCTCCTCTGCTCTTTTTGATCGCCAATTCGCTTGAGTAGACAAATGCTTCATGGTATTGCAGATTCAGACGGTTTACCATAAGTAATGCTTCAACTATACTTTTCTCCCGATTTTCATAAGAATCTTTGCAGATCCTTGTGCGAACAATAGTTTGACCAAGTCAATATCTTGATTAAACCCCATTCATATGCTGCACCTCTGGATTCAATGGGTTTTACTTGTGTGAAAGGCTTGCTTGCCTCGATTCTCTGATTTCTCTCATTGCTTATTAAATCACATCGGAATTATTGTTACTTTTCGAGCTATTAATGGTGTTTCTGTTGCTGATAATTGTCTGAAATATGGTACATCGTCAACGTGATCAGGGCTCGACCGTGTGTAGATACGCCTTTATTTGAGTGTTGAGCCTCATGATGTTAATACTGTTCCTGAGATCGCACTGCATTGTTGGTCGAAGTGAGTTCTTGTAAGTCATTTTCCCCTTGTCTGAGGTCATCAATTCATATAAATACTGCAGGAATCGTGTGTTAAAACGATGGTTCCTAATAAATCAGGTGGGTTAAAGTATTTCCATACTTTTTACTCTCGTAATCGCAATTGCCAAGTGTCAATGTTGTGCATTTCTTGATCATGTCTACTAATATGGTGGCATTAATATGGGGTAAAGTTATCTTCCGCAATGCTATGGCGACAACTTTTGGTTCATGCAACAGCAATAGTTAAGCTGTTTTATCTCAGCATGTGTGGCTAAATTAGTCATGTTAGGCTTCATGATTCCTATGCAGTTCTTTGGCATTGTCCAGCGTCAATTTGAAAATATCACTATATGCTTACCTCTCATCTCAGTATAACGGTTCGCCTAATCTTAGATTGCCAAGCAAACTAAACTAGATTCTTTCATCAGAGGAGTAGTTTAATTAACTTTCACGGAACCAAAAGTCATATTTCATAATTTATATTTGGAGTAGTACCAATGGTATGTAGACCGGTAGCATATACGTAATGCGCACTCGTCTCCTCCTCCATGTGGGAGATCTGGCACTCAATTGTCTTTTTTAAGCATGGTTGAATTAACTTGATTAAAATCGGATGACTGGTCGCTTTTTGCTTATTTTTAACTTCTCTGTTTCCTTGACGGGAAGAGCTGACAGGATGGATGGCGTGGTTACGGTCGGCATAGGTTAATTAATGAAAATTCTTAATCCAGTTCGTTCATCTCTATTTTCCTCTCTCAAGGCAGGGCTGGTGGTTTGACTGCACTCTCGAAGATGCCCTCGTGCAACATCCAGGTGTTGGGCGCGCATCGCCGCAACCTAGCAGGCTTTAGTAACACCGCCAGCTTGCCGCACACGGGCTACATCTACCATTCGGAGTTTGTGCAAAAGCTGCCTCCTGATCTACGTATCAGAGCTGCGCGTCTTCTCGCCAACAAGGTGGCACTGGCCGCGCGTGTCGACTCCTTTCATCGATCCCAGGTGAGCACTGACGAGCCTTCGAGCCTTGAATACTCAACTACTATGGGTGGATGGCGTTGCATCTTCTGCTTCTTGATCTTGCCTTCATAGTGGGTGTTTGTCAGTTGGAACAGACGTTTGCTAATCAACATTTCAATAGTGCTCTTTGCACAATTTTTGTATCGAGCAAGTTTGGGATGTGCTTGTTTCTCAATAATGTCGTACTTTTCCGTATCTTACACCTTCTACACTTAAGCCCAAATTGTTGATCTGTGGAACCTCCGAAGAAGCCCAAGTGCTCATTTGATCAGTAAAATCCTTGCAGGCAAACTCATTGAAAGGTATCAGTACGATTTGCTTCTACCACAAATCAACCAAATTTGACAGCTTTTCATACTTATCTTTCGCTCACATCACAAAATAATTGACGTAGTCATTAGTTATTAACTAAGAATGGAAAATTCCGGAAAAAATAAGCTATTTTTGCTCTTTCATTCCCTATTTCTTAGTTTGGCCTTCTATTTTGCCACCGAAAAGCTTACACACTCGATCACTTTTGCCTCTTATTTTTCCTAGTTTTTGAGTATTAATTTTAAACAAGCAATCGAAGGCAATGATAGTGCCCGTTGAAAATTGTGAAAACTTGGTTTATCACTTTGGTATTACAGTGATATTGGGTTTTTCATTTGTGAGAATTATTGGTTATTTGATATTCATTTGTATGGTACAAAGGTTACCGTTTAGAGAGGCTGAAGTATTTTTTTATTCATGAAAATTTTTGAATTCGATCATCTTGTATAGGATGGAACAGTGGGCGAGCAGATGCTTTTAGAGGTGGAAAAGAAGATTGATAAATGGCAAGAGCCGCCTCCGGTGAAGCAGGTCAAGGCTCTCCCAGCTCCCATCGACCCGCCAGCAAAGTAAGTGTTACAGTACCATTGATTCATTTGTCAATGTTTTTAGCTTGGACTTAGTCTTGGATCCTGTTATGCTGCGTTGGCTGTGCGGATAAATGGTGTATATCGTTGAATGGTGCTCTGCAACGATGCCTCCAATTGGCTGATCCTTTCAGGGCTTTAGAAAGCATGTTGATTACTTGTGCGTATAGGATGGCAGTTTTCTGACTCTAAATTGGCTTGGCGGTTAACATAGAATAGTCCAAAAGCGGTCTTTGGCTTTGTGGTCGAATTGATGTTGGGAGTAAAGCTCTCTTCCTCCTGAGTCTACTGAATGCCATGCGCTTGATTAGCTTGAGTGCGAAGAACTTGGTCGATCAATAGCGGTTGTATCACCGACAGTCATCTCTATGCTAATGATGGGTCAAGCTAGCTAACGCTGAAACCTTGAATCGGTTATCGTACAAAGCCTTCACCAGCTTTCAATCTTATTCTGTCTTCATAGTTAAGATTTCAACGACCAGCTTTTTTATGCCTTGCATATTTTACTGTTAAGTTATCCAATTCTGCATACAAATGGGTGACTGGCCCTTCAAGTGGTCATTTATTGGACTTTTACTGCCACTTACAAAACCAAGGCTCAAGCATTAAGCATCCAGTCTAGAGACTGCAACCGCTGCTTAACTTCAATGAGTTGGTTGAGTGTGCAGCTTTGTTGCTCTGAGAATTTCCCTGAATCTCCATGAGCTTTACTTTGAATAGGTGTGTGGGACTCATGGTCTACACTACATCGAGAAAAATGATACTCAGAGTATGCGAATCTTGGTCATCCAGTCTTTGAAGAATTAAATAGCTAAGCTTTGATTTTTAATGTCGATAAACGAAATGTTTCTTGCAGTCTTTGTTAAAGGCTTGTCCGAGCTCAAGTCCAGACATTCAAGACTTCGAACAATCAATAAAAATTCCGCGGATCATCAGTATGATATTCTCCTTTGTTTAGAGGTTTAATTTACTGAGCAAAGGTAATTATTTGCGTTTCAAACGCGTCGAAAATGATGTATATCGGCTTTACTAATCTTTAATCAAGGTACCCCATAACGGATTGGTTGTTCTCGTAGGAAGCGCGGAGGCCGCCGCTACCGCAAAATGAAGGAGCGTTTGGGAATGACAGAAATGCGTCGCTCCGCAAACCGCATTCAGTTTGGTCAGGTGAGCGAGGATGCCTACCAATCCGATTTGGGCTTCTCGTTGGGCTCACTGGGTCAGCGTGGCGTTGCAGGTCACCTGCGTGTTCCCACGGCGGACTCAAAGACAAAGGCAAGGGTGAGCAAGGCGCTGCAGCAGAAGCTCTCCAAGTATGGGGGCCTTTCCACCATGCCCACCACCGCATTGGGCGCCGCCACCTCCTCGGCTGTCTGGGGCACCGCTTCCTCAGTTCGCCGAGGAGGCACTGAAACTGCTGGAACCGCGTCGTCGGTCACTTTCACCCCCGCACAGGTGCGTTCCCTTCTAACATTAAGTTATGTGATTGTAGGTAAAACCAGAGTACTTCTGTGGTCGGTCTAAAACAACCTGATTTACATTTCCTACTGATTGTACAGTTTCCCCAGCACAAATCCGAATTTTGTGTCCCCTATTCTTCTCAAGGTCTTGCATTTAAAATTCTAGCGGATTCGCACCTACTCCCCTTGATTCGAAAATGTTTGTTGAATCATTTCAAGAGCAGTTGAAAACTTAATAGCGTTTTAATTTGTGGCTTGTATGCTTTAATTTACGAACCCTATATGGTCTCTGAGGCTGTACCTAATTTCCTATTTAAATATTCATCAACCGAATTAGGCGGATATTCATTGCGTCTTTGCAAATTTGAGAATAACATTACCTATGTCAATGTCCCATGTTCGATCAACTTAAAAGAACCAAGGGCGTTAAATGCATCCAGTGTAGCTTTTTGGACTTATCTAGTTCCATTTTTAGTTTTCCAGTTGTGATGGGATATTTCTGAACTTGACTGAATCAAGAGGTTCCTTTGCTGCTCTACAGTTTCCTTTATCTAATATTTGGGGTACCATATGAATGATTGTAAACTTCGAAGCGATATTTTAGTGGTGCGCGTTCATGACTCTGCGTTTTTGTCTGATAGTTGAGGACTTGGGGTTAGGTGCTTCTTTTACTTCATCTCAGCTATGTCACGAGCAAGTATTTTTGTAATTGATTTTCACTGATTTGATTGGCTTGCTGGAATGCTGTTTTAAAGTTTGTAGTGAATTCAATGTCCCCACTTGTTATTTGTGTAATCTCCCGGTTTGATGACCTATAGGAGGTCGTAGTCTTAGAGCTAGACTTCCTGTTATACGCTATACGTGTAAGAACTTTTGTCTACTGAATCCGCGTTCTTCGGAACGAGCAATTGCCGACGCCCGTCCTATCCATTTGGCACTTTAGTTAACGGATGCCTCGGGTCCATGTAACTTTAATTCTGAATTGTGCACTTCCCAGGGTCTTGAGATCGTCAACCCAATGGCTTCGCAGAAGCAAGTGGATGATCACAAGAAATATTTCAGTGCAACTGCTGGTTTCATCAAGTCGAAAACCAGCTCCAATGACAGCATGCCGCCACCGGCACCCAAGGATGCGTAGAGCTCTCAGCCACTTTCCATCTGTACGTAAATCTTAGATATGTATACATGAGAGAAAATCTGCTCAGCTCACCAATAAACGAGTGCTACTCTTATCGGTTGCTGTGGTCATTTTGGCTAGCTTTGTGTAAACGAGTGTTAGTAACTCTATTGGCATTTGCCAAACTCTGTGGATGTGCTCCAATCACAATGATAGATAACATAGTTTAACTAATTAGACAAGCAAGGAAGTGGAAGTTGAGCTGAGTGAACAGATTTATAAACTGACGTCCTGACACAGAGGATGTTTAAGTTGTGGGTAGCGCTTGTCGTGTTTGCCGCCTCGCACAACGAACATCAAGCACCAAATCGGATCGAATTTTCGGCAATCAAGGTAGAACATCTTGTTGAATATGTGTAGCTGTCCCGAAGGCTAGGTTTTACCAATAGTAATTCACAATTTGCAACCGTCTATCGTATAAATTGCCACATGACTGCCAATTTGCTGATCTGCTTCGGTGCCGCAGGGAAGCATTGACAGAAACAATACTTAAATAGTTAATGGTACCGCATCACGTGATCAAACAAGCTTCAACCCAACAGTCCTCGAATACATCGCTGGCAAATTAATCGCCAACTATACAGAGCAACAAAGACCGCCACTCCCATCCGCTCGACTGTTAGTTGCTTAAAGATCTACGTCAGGAGTGGGAAGTGTACACGTATACATAAGCATTTTCAAAACTTGACAAATTTGTAAGAAATACAAACACACATGAGTGGAAAAGTTGAGAGTAAATTAAACGCCCTGTTCCACAACCCCTACTCTGGTCCTTATTTGACTGAGCCGGTCTAGGCGTTGGACCATCACTTGGAGGAAGAGCTGATCGCTCGACGAAAGGTAAGGAGCCTAGTAGAGAAAGAGAAGTGAAAGTACTTTTTTTTGTTAATGCCAATGGGTTTCTGAACTTGGTAGTACTGACCACGACGCCTATTACTGACATGTATTTCGCAAGTTTTAGAATGCTCACTATTACTACCAAAACGCAGTGAGCCTGGTCGCATAAGACTGGTTCATATTTCACCACTAGTAAGTCTGAAAACTAGCAAAAACCCAAATGTTGCATAATGCGGTAAAAAGCGTTCGTCTTCTGAATGAGACTAATTTAGACTCAAACAGTCGACTTTCAACACATTTTTATGTGAGAGTTCATCAAAATTGCAAAAAATGATAATCAAAAAATTGTGAAGCCTAATCTGTATCAAAAAGCCCAGTTGTCAAAGTTGATGAGCCAATAGTGGAAGTGAAGTTAAGTGAGCTCCGCCTAATCAAAGAGAAAAAAAACTAATGTCAGAAGCTGCCGCACAACTAACAATATCCGACTTACAGAAGCTGAATCTGGAACCTCTGCCATCACTAAAAACTTGACTCATAAGGAGTGATTAAATGCTGCACTGAAATGGATAGGGGATACTGAGGCATCAAAATAGAATTATGGTCAATTAGCCCACCTTGGAGACTTGAGTGATGCTCTCGAGAAGGTCAAAGGAGAGTTTGCGCGGTAGTTGCTCAATAAACTCGGCGTCAACGAGTCGCCTCGAGCGATGACGTGATGTGATACAGTTTCCGTTAGGCTCTAATGACGTCTCAGACTTGTTGACAGAAGCAAGAAAACAGGCGAGATGGCGCCAGAGGAGGTAAAGAGACTGCTCCAAAATGTCTAGTGTAGAGAGCGAGAGTAGATAGTCACTGGTGTGAGGAAAACAAGAGAAAGAAAATAGAATAGAACCTACCGATAAAGCAAGTCAATTGAGTCTGCAGCAACCCGCTTCCTAGAGAAATGAGGCGACGCAGGTAAGTGTTCCGTTGGTTGGTGTCAACTCCTGTTGTAGTACTAAGGTAAAAGTCGAAAAAAAGTACAAGAGAATGACCTCGCCTATGACTGCATCCTCGAGTGGTAGCATAGATCTCAATCGTCACGTTAATGCGAGATATCTCTCAGGTCTATTCATGTAAATATACTAGTTGCCAAATAATTAGATGGCAAACTTTCATCTTACAATCCATCAAAGACAATCGCAAATTATCACATTTCTGTGGGAGTTTTTAGCAAGAGTACGCATTGAGAAATGAAACGAAAGCTACTTAAGCACTTTTCAAGGAGTCAAATTCAGCTGATATGAAAACGGTGCAAGCACCCGTTCCTTTCTTCAATGAACAAGCGTCATCATGGAAGTGGATCGTAGATCATAGAGGAAGGCTGGAGACCTACCTTGTTTGAAGCAGCGGGCCCGCAACTGGTGTCCATATGGAGAAAACGTTGACAGCAACCTGACGCAAACTGTCAGTGGAGATTTCTCCACTTTGCGAGCAAACGCTGATCTAAGCGGGGCATAAAGAAAGTGAATTTGCACATGAGCAAGCAGGAAGCGTGCAAACAGACATCTACACCGTTCACTAATAACTAGATGGAATTTGTAGAATACACAAAGAAATTTTGGTGATCAAAATGGCGTCATGTGTTTAAACATCATGAGTGTCTTAAAGCAGATGATTCGCCACAAAGTAGTTAAAGCTAAATGAAAGCGACTCTGAATCTGGTCTGGAACTATTTGACAATCATGGAGATAATGTGCCCAAAATTCAGCCAAGAACAGCAGAGAGCTATCAAATGCAGCAGCAAGATGTTCCATCACGATATTTGAGGGAACTTTGAATCCGTAAAGCTCGTTAACTGACGCAACAAAAGTGAAATAGAGATGAAAAAACTGTCCCTCTCTCTCTCTCTCTGAAGCCAATTCTAACATTGTTCCGGAAAGATCTCTTACTAGCAGAGGTCAAGGAATAGACTAAACTTAACGAAAAAATAAAGGGAATTTTATAGAGGTTGGCTAGGTCTTGTAAAACTGGTTGTGTAGTGCGCATTGGGGCAAACAACGAGAAACAAATAGAAGAGAAGATATAAGGAAACATTTGCAAGGAACGGAAAAGTCTTTGATTCTTCTCGTTCTTATGATGAGCGGATAGGGAAACGAAAATGGTTTATTATTGCGAACAACAATACAACCACAACCCAAAAAAAAAATGTTGCGCCAACAAACATCATAATTAAAGACGTAATCACATACGGGAAGTTGAACTAGACGGCAAAGAACTTTATCCAGCGATAGCGGACTACTGGTTTTTCTGCTCTCCTCTTCACCCTCCCCATCACCTTCATCAGCTCCATTGAGGAAGCTAAGTGGCAAATGACGCGTGAGAAGGTTGACCAAACTCTCTAGGTGATGCAATCGCAAGGCCGACCATGTGATCAACTCAAAGAGGAGGTGCAGACCAGGGCGACTTGACATCGACCCTGAGATTAGCGAGACATCGCTATCGGAATCATCTAAGGGTGAGACAAAGTGGGAGTTAAAAAGTAGACATTTTAAAGTGTATAGGTTTCTTTCTGGAGATTTACGAATTCGGTACCTTACAAATAAGACGCTTAGTAATCATGTAATCTGAGTAACACACTTTCATTTACAACTGTGGAGTATATTAACGGGATTTTCTCGATTTACTAGTGGGAAAACCATCCAATTCTTCTTAATAGTGCTTTGATGCCCACTCATCCTCTCTCGAACACCCAGTAATAGATGTTCCCATTTGACTAAAAGACCCATTAGACGATCCAATTGAGTTATACCCCTATGTACATCAAATTGAGATAGGAGTGAGCTTTGGTGGTGAGGTTATCCAAACTACGAAGTGATTCAAAAAGGAACAAACTAAAGTCTAGTTACTACATTTTTTGTAACATGGGGAAAAAGCGATTCAAATCATAGTCTCTGCATTAAAACGTTAAAAACGTATAAGGGAAAGGTATATCAAATATGGGAAAATAATGTTGAAATGCGAATAATGCTGAGCAATAAAGAAATCACTGCGAACCCGACAATTTGGAAGAAAATGACGGTGTAAAACCAAGCGATCTAAAATCGCCTGTAAAGACTTACTTGCAGAGAGGGAAGATGAAAAGATGAGATTCTTTATGCAAGTCGGATCGAAGCTATCAAACTCGTCCTCAGTAGAAACGGCAGCTACACAGGTGCTTATCAACAAACGTAGTAATTCCAATTGCTCGGTGATTACAAGATTTCGTACGAAGATTTGCCTTGTGGAAATAGAAGCAATGAAGTAATTGAGGAATTCAGCATGAAAGTATTATGTAATTGAAGTCGACTGAAGTACCTGACATTATTGGGTGAGTCGCTGTTTGCGAGAACGCGATTATCCTTGTTTTTTAGTGTCCACAACAAATCCGGAACAATAGCAAAGACGTGACGCAGCGTCTTGCTACGCAAAAGTTCACGAGGAAGGTCGTCAGGTCTAAAGGAAGAATGTAGGATTGAGAGGTAGCAAAAAAGGACGTGGAATGCAAAAGAGTAAGGTTACTCACTCTTCCAGACTGAAAGGTATTCTCGAGCGCAGTATAAAGGAGAGAAGATGAGCCAGGCTCTCCTCACCCTGAAGCCACTGAAGGGCAGCCTGGACCATCTGCTCCTGTTTCGTCACAGACGCCGAGTTCTCTTCCTGGAAGCACTCCTGGATGAGAGCCGAGACTAACCGCACTGCAGAGGCACTAGCTCCCACTGTCAACAGGGCATCCGAGTGGGCATATAAGAATTTAGATACCTTCTGCACTGCAGACACATGAGTTGGACCCAGAGTAAAGGCTAGAGACTTTGCAAAGGCCAGAGAAGGGGCAAGAATACCCACCCAATTGAGACATTGTCCACAATCTGAGGAAGCTCCGAGGTTACACCCAGACACAGAGAGGAGCTGTGAAGTAACCAATCGATCAATGAGGCCTATGGGAGTAGCGATAACGGGCTTGCCTGCTTCCTGCAGAGTCAGCATTTGAAGAAGGTGTTGTGAGAACTCGTAGGTGTCCAACCAAGTAAATGGATCTGGTTGGATTTCAGGCAAAGCATTATTATCACCACTAAAAGTGGCCACCGAAAGATTAAGGGCGTCGGCAAGACAGGATCCAGAGAAAAGTTCAAGTCGGTAGAGAGTCGAGTCGAGAAGAGGTGTTTGAATAAGAATCCTTGCACCCAGTTGAGTGGAGGCTGCAAGGGCGAGAAAGGCCATTTTTGATTGGTAGACGTAGAAGACCGCAGTGGCGTCTGACTGACCATTCGTTTCATTAACATCTTTATTTTGATTCATAGAATTGTCAGTCTGGGACATCATGTACCGCTGAAGGATAGCTAAATCGTCATCCAGACTATCAACGCAGAACTAAAATAAAAAAACCGATGAATCAGGACAAAAAAGCATGCATTCAGGAAAGGGGGAGAGATGAGAAACATCCCGAACCTGAAGACAACCATCCCGAATAACCGTCTCCATAACCTGCCCAGAGGTACGATCTAGTTTCAACAGAAGACAGAGCAGTCCCAAAGCAGATATGGGAACGATGGGGTGATGACCACTGGAGATATCAGTAAAGAGTACTGTGAGAAAAGAACTGCTATCAACGTCTCCATCCTCACCCGAGAGGATGTTTATGGCTTGGAGCGCTGTGGAGACTTCTGTGGCACCTCCAACGTCAGAGACTGAATTCCGTTGATCTACAATGGAGTACAGTGATTATTTCGGTGGGGCATACTCACAAGGGTACTTTGGAAGTGGAAAGATATTCGGTTAAATGGTAAACTTAAGTGATTTTCAATTCCATGCAGCACTACTACTACTGCTACTGAATTTCCGCGCAATGCATCAACGTAAGTAAAATGAGCTTAAAGGTTGCTTCACTTCCAATCTGTAATGATCCTAAGCGCCAGATGAATACCTCCAAAAAAGAGTTCATTTAATGGGTAATGTAAGATTTAGGGGTCTCAAATGGACCTCCAAGAAACTGAAGTGATGGAGTTTTGCAAGAATTTTGCTCCATTCTTTGTTAAACGCCAGCCTAAGTAGAAATACGAACATTGAGAGACCAAAATAGAAAAGGAAATATGAGGAAGAGAGACAGGTGCCTCAGACTAATTGTATAAATGTTTATTTTAGCCAACCTACCAATTCGGTAGCACACATCAAGGACATAACACAGAGCACCATAGTAGTTGGCACGAACGCGCTGCTGAGTTGGCTCTAAATTGAAGGTAAAATGTTAGGTTATCAGAAAGGTAATGCTGAAAAATAAACGAGAAGAAGATAGCGTACTGGATGAAAGGACGGCCTGGAGAAGTAGTTTCGTGACGGCTAGGATGCTTTGAGTTCCTTTCATCTTCGATGGCAGCATAGATCCATACGCGGGCATTGACAAAGCGAAGAGCTGCAGGAAAGCCGTCAGACTAAGGCAACTGCCGCTGGCCAGAACTTTGAGCACCGCTGGAGCAGATTCGGGTGCTGATATCTAAAAATTGGACCTTCCTAAGATATCAAGATCATGGGCACAAGAAAGAATAGAAGAGCAAGCCTGCATTAGTTCTCAAATTGAATCAAATAAACATGGCTCGAAAAGGTGGATCCCGCATGGATACGTAACTAAAGAGCCATTGAAACCAGCCCTATTTAGGCAAACATTCCTTGTCATACTATTAAGGAACTCCTCGGACGGCATCATCTGTCGATTGTCAATTGACTTTTATACCGATAAACAATAATTATTTTTGGGAGACACATGAGCCATGACAAAGCAAAGGCACAAAAAGACCGCCCCGCACATGCCGGAATTGATGATAATTAAATATTCTCAAGCATGAACAACTTCCACACAGTAAAAAATGTCACTACAGATTTTCCACATAGACACATTTTGAAGGAAGAAAACTGACGTTTAAGTAAATAACAATTGGGTCTAAAAGCGTCAAGATTTCCTGCTTTGGAAACGATGCAACGACATACTATCAAGCATCATCGTAAAAACTAACATACATCGTGATTCGTACAGGTGGCGTAGAAAAACATAGATAGGACCCACTCGAATTGGAATTCCGATCAAAGTGCCTCTTGCTTGCTTATAATTATTCGAAGTGCCGAACTTTTGCAAGGAGTCAACTAATTTTCTTGCAAACTTCGTGCAAATTAGATAGAAACTTCATCTTTTACAAGCATCGAGCAACGCACTGATTTGGACTAAGATCCACAGTTTCGTATGAAGCGGGAAATAGTCAGTGCTAACAGAGCCATTCATTAAACTACATGGGCTTTAGTTGCCCTCGCTACCACGACACCCCTCAGATGGTGTCAAGGAGAAACAAGAACACCTTCAAGGATGGCTACGACACAGCCATCAAACTCACTTCATTGAGCAAGCAATAGAGAAGGGTCATGGTGGATGTATAAAGGAATCGATTAACGACACCTCCTACACCAAGAAAGTTGCTTGAAGAAGTGGTGGAAGTGGTGAGGCCGAGAAGTTCTGGTGAAGAGCGTGCCAGAAAGTGGAGCATGCGCAGACCAATCTCAGCAAGATGACGCCAGCCCTCCAGGAATGCTTGCTTGCCTGCTACTAGAGCCAGGCGATGTGCGTTGCGACGACGCGCCCACTCCACCACGTCAGCAGCCAAAGAGAGGTTGGTGTCGTCAGTGGCTGCGGCAGTTGAGAGCAGTCTTGATGCTTCAAGCCCACTTTCCTCCATCAATGCCTTTGGAGATGGAACGGAGGAGACAGCGGTGACACCAAGGAAGACAGTCAGGCGAGCGGACAACGACGCAATATTGATGACGCCCGATCGTAATGATACTTGCTCATCGGTGGAAATGAGGGGGAAAACCTCCTCACAGGCTATGACTATCTGAAAAGGCATTAGTAAGATGGTTAAAATACTCAAGCTAGCTAAGTTATGAAAGGTGATTCGACATAGAAATACCAAGTAGCCATCCAAATAGCAGATGATCCGCAGCTTCAAGCAAAGCAAATAAGAAATGACTTCAAACAGAAGCAGAACTTCAAACAGAAGTTATTTTAGCATAATGAAAGTGTAGCTAATTTTTTGCGAAATTCAACTTCAAATGCAGAGGCACCAAAGTGTGCTCATTTTAAGAGTTTCTAATTGCCGAAGGTACTCGTTGCAATGGGGTTAACTAATCAAATGCTACTCAAAGTAAATGTCAGTAAAACAATAAATGTCCTCACATCCTCCACAAGCTTAGACTCTGCACAATCGCGCTCAAAAGGCCACTGGGGGCTGAGCATGGTCTCTGAGGGCGCCATTCGTGCCAGCAGCTGCACGAAAACCCGATTTTGTGGCTCTGCCAAGTCGGGATGGCTTGCGATGGAGGAGAATTGGTCTATCACTGAAAGGAAAGTTATCAAACGGCAATGAAAAGACAAAAAAATGGTTACAGGAGCCTCAGACAAAGTACCCAAATAGTGGGAGGGTTTTGGCTATCGAAATTCATTTTAAAGAAGCACAAATGATATTGGAAGACCATGAATGAATTATGCAAAATCTGCGAAGTAAAGGCATTAATTTCGTGAAACGTTTACGGGGAACTGGTTGTCCACCGCCATCACCACCCCCACTATCAGCGCCCTCGTTAACTGGGAACAGGTTAACAAGTAGCCGGGCCAGGTAAGTGCGTTGTGAGGTGGAAGACTGCGCCTCAATAGCTGCCATCTTCAGTAGCCAGGAGCATTGGTTCAGCGCGAGAGATCGGAGGGCTAGAACAAAACCATTAGCGAATATAACAAGGAGAGATGAAGGTTGAATGGAGTAAATAAGACTCCTACCCCATTTGGCATTATCTTCGGTTGACATTGATGCAGATGGCTGGGAAGAGACGGAAAGAAAGACTCCAACAAGACCGGTGGTGAGATGGCGTGCAATGAGGTCGTGGTTGCCACGGAGGTAGCGAGAGACAGGAACAGCCGTTGTTGTTGACGCGGCCATAAGGTGGTAGAGGATTTGCCAGCACAGTGCAGCATCCCACTGTTGCATCAGCAAGGAAACATGCGGTGAGCCTAACTCCATTTCAGGCACTGAATTCTCACGAAGACTGGCTACAGCCAATTCGAGAAGGTCGAGCAGCGCATGCAAGCAGGTTCGAGGGAATCCGCCCACACCAGCGTCCTGTTTCGATTTCGCAAAGAAAAAACATTGTATAATTTGATTCCAATGAGCATGGTAGCGTGAGGCGTAAATGCGTCCAGCTAAGCAGTCTAGCCAGTTTCGTGACTAAAATTTGGATACACTTCACTTTAATGTGCGTGTTGTGCAACTCCATGAATGGGTATTAAGTAATATACAGTAAGAGGAAGCACGCAAATATGTGTAATTAGTAGAGTACAGCAAGAAAAGGTTTGTCGATAGGAGAGGAACAGGTTTTATGAACATTTGACAAAGAGAGGAAGATGACCGTAAAATACTTGTTTGCCCCAAGATGAAACATACTGAGACACATCCCCAATCGCAAAACTCATTTTCGCCTTCGCATTCCTACCCTACTCATAGACCGACAAAGTCTTCAGGGGCAAGACCGATGGCAAAAAAGAACTAACGAAATAATCCAGATAAAAATGGAAGGAACCAAACAGTTCACATAGGGGAGTTGAGGTTAAGACAGGCATGAGACGAGTTACAAGAAAAATTCAATTATGGAGGCAAAATGGTTCCGTGTAAGTGGGCTTAGGTACTAATCCAGATATTTGCAAGGGTGCCAGAGTTCATGCTTTACGTCGAAGAGACTATAAACTACATCTCCTTCAAAAACGCTAAAACGACGCGAAAGTTAGAGTATTTCATAGTACTTTGCTTAAAATAGATAAGTATTACTAAATCGCAATCTCAAGACCATGACAGCAACGGGAATAGATGCATAGGAGCATTATATTCCGTAAAGTTCTACAAAAGAAGGAAGGGGAGGAAGGAGGCTGCAGACGATGGTCCTAAAAGTGACTACCTGAAGAGTTGTGAGGGCGATGGTTCGCGAGTTTTTGCATCGGAATCCCAAGAGCCAGTGGGCGATAGAGGGACTCGGATGGTTGGTCAGAGCGTAGAGAATCAAACGCAGCATTATGGAACGAATTGAACGCCCATGACCTTGACGCCAATGACCTAAACCACATAGACAACATACTGCTGAAAAAAAAGATACTAGGCTAAAACATCCAGAGAGCATCGTTGTAGTGCTACCAAGATTGAGACCACACAGCGAATCTGCTTTCAAATGCAAAAAAATGCATATAATCAACTATTCAGGCTTAAAATGATGGGTCATGCAAAAATATCATGGAAACGAATTCTAGATGGGTGCTTGATACACGAATTATGAGTTCTACCGGCCCTAAACGCCCTTAAAGTTAAAATAATAAGTTCAATTTAATAAAATTAAGATATATCTAATAATAAGACGAAACTCGGATTCGGCTAGCAAGAAAAGAGATCTCACCAAACGACCAAATCACATCAAGCTCGCAAAAATCCACCGTCGTCAAGTCAATAGAGGGCGAGTTTTGGGAAGGAAAGGCGGACATAAACTCCCATCGTGTGTCACCCATATCCCAGTCACAGGGCATGGTGGGAAATGCAGCGAGAGCACTGGCTGCTTTGAGTGCAGGATTTGGAGGGTAGCAACCACCACTGCCACCACCACAAAAATCGAAGCCTTCATCGCCAATTATCCCCGCTTCACCGTCCTCATAGAGCCAGGAATCGGAGAAGATCGGTGGCGACTCCCTGTTAGTCTCACCTGTGCTTCTGGCATCATACAGCTCGCACAGAGAGGTATTGAGACACGAGACCAGAGCACGCAATAGTTCCTGCTCTGATTTCTACAAGGATAATGAAACAAGTTCGCCTGGAAGTAGTTTTTAAATCATAGGTTCACGCGTTAAATTAGCAAGTCTAAAGCAAAAAAAAAAAAAAATAAAATAAAATAAATGGCGCTTTTTTTACTGAACTAAGAATTGGAATCGAAAGAACAACAATTATTGGTTAAATTTACATGAATTGCTTTTGGTGCAAAATCTATGAGTTCAGTCAGCTGAAGTAAAATGAAGCGTAAAAGTGGAATTCATCAACAAAACACTAAATGAGGAATTGCTATTGAAATATATGCGATTGTAGGTACTTTGAGAGCCCAGTGCCAACTACAGGAGAAACGGTTTCAGAGATAGCCTGGATACCGTGGAAGGAAGTACTAATCCATAGTAGCATCGATAATGAGGTCTATACCACTGCGAAGAGTTAGTAGGCAAGAATCAGTAAAAAAATACAGAACTCAAATACGACAGAATTTGATGGGAGGTCAGAGAGCACTAAAGTAAAAACAAGATAACATCAAAAAAGTGAATAATTAGAGCAACCACACAATCTCTTGCCTGATCGGTAGTAAGTACAGACAGTACGGTTTCATGTGGTTGAACAGCGCGCACAACACTGTACAGGATATTAAGTGCCGAAGTGCCATGGTCTGGAAGATCATCAGATAGACCGCAATACCTAAAATCAACCGAACAGCTAGAAGGCTATCAGGCATGGCCTGAATAGAGTAGAATTCATCCAGAACACAAGTTCACCTACCGAACAATGGTGACAAGGAGGTCAGCCCTACCGGTTCTTGAATTGATAGTCACCACAAGGAGGCGCGAGAGTAGAGTAGGTAAGATGACATCGGGTCCTGATCTCTGGCCCCACGCGGTGTCAGAACTGAAAAAACCGATATAATTGTGATCTTTGGGTAGAGGTCCAAAAGATAGGTCAGGCAGCGCCACAACACCCACCGTAAATGAGGTACCACCAGAACAGCTCGACGCACTAGATTTACGACCATCTGCTCGTGAGGAAGAATGTGCTCAAAGAGACGCAAAATCGCTGCCGTGGCTCGAACCATGGCACAGGAGACAAAGGTGGCAGAATTTTCCAATAGGCGGTAAAGTCCAACTTCTAGCAACCCGGTCAGCTACAAAAAAATCGACCTATCAAGTGCTTCTACTTAACGACTAAAGCGGTAGGAGCAAAGACATACTAGAGAGAATAGAGAAGAATTAGTGAGGAGTTGAGTGACAATTTGATAGCCAGGATCGGTGAACGGCCACCCTCGAGGAAGGTTTAGTTTGCCCGTGTTCACATGGCCACTGAGGAGAGTAGACCAATCAAAGAGGGTTAACTGTTCATCGCTGCAGTTCCCTGCACCCGACGTGAGAATGGCTACTGAACGCATTCGACGCATAAATGCGCGAACTAAACCTTCGAATAAAACCACACAGGAGGCTGCTACCTCCCACTAAAACGGTACGGAAAAATGCAGATAAATGATTCACCTACATTTCGAACAAGTGTTGAGAAAGAGGAATAAAGCTCACTCTCTCATTCTGCCTACGATAGGCACGCATAGTATGCTTTAAGAAGATTGTCTCAGTGGTGAAATGAACGAGACGAGAAAGCGCCTCACAAGGTTCCATGGTCGGCGAAGCAAGCTCACATGCACCCACGGCAGCATTCAGCAAAGATGGTGCCAGTGTTGTAATAAGGTTCAGGAAGGCCTGGGTGATGGGATATTCTTCTAGACGAGCTTCCGCCTTGTCCATCTCCGTCTAATAGAGAAGACGATTATCGATGGTAACTCAACTGGCGAATATAAGGAATCCTATTAATTGATAAGATTATTTATTCGTGAAAGTAGAAGGCGGTAATGCTAAAGCTTCAGAAACTTTGGTCTTTGTCATTTTTTAAAGCATATTTGACATGGAGAAGTGGAGGTTAATCAAAGCATCAAAGTAACAACATCAAAATACAAGTTTTTGGACTGCACAATTGCTGGCACCTGGAAATTTTGACGAATAAGAACGATGGCGATGAATTGACACCATAACGGAGATCTCCAAAACTGATGAAAAGAAAGGAACTTGGCAGGGGATTATACTGTTTTTAGAGCACATCTGATTTAAGTGCCTATTTGATGAGGAGGTATCGCAATTTGTTTTACAAGATTCGCGCTAGAATGGAGTCATCAGAAGTTACATTGATGCAGGTTGAACTAGTGACTCGTGATGAATAGATTCACGATAATTCCCCTTGGTAGCAAGAAGCAATGAAATGAGATCCTGAAAATTGAACTAAAGGTGGAAATTATACAGAGGCTGATGACTCAATTCCAAACTAACCCTGCTCAATGTATCAGTGGCTGATATCAAGGAGCTATGACCAAGAAAAGTGACTTCAATTGTGGTTGCGATGTTGAATAGAGGGTGTTGGAAATAGAGAACGATTTCAAGGTACGACCTTCCGTTTGCATACATGCTTGATAGGAAGTTTGAAACACTTGGAGGATTCTTTAATTACGAAGTAAATGCTGCAGCTCCAACCATTGGAATGGAGAATGTCAACACCGACTCCAACTACACAGGCCCAAGTTGAAATTGTTTAGGAGTAGTAGTTAGTCAAAATTAAGCCCAACAAAACCTTCATTTTTCTAGTTGATTTGCATAAAATTAAAAAATCACGAGCGATCGAAACAACAACGTTAAAATCTGTTCGACTAAAACCATAGTTCTGAAGTGATGGCTGATTTCCAAATGGAAAGACCACAAAGTACATTGGCTACGAATCCAGGAGTATAAAACCTCCATGAGGTACTTGTATAAGGCGTCAATCAAACGAGATGTGTAAATGATTTCTAAGCACTAATAAGAAGAGGCAAGAACATTGATCACCACTCAGCAGTCAGTTCACATACATGAAGTCCCACGGCACTGCGCGGAGAGGTAGAAGAAAGAAGGCCGTAAGGATGTTCGATGAAGGGGAAGAGATGACTATCCATAAGAGCGCACCACACCTCAGCTGCAATAGCAGGAGTGTGCGAGAGTGCCGAGAGGAGGTATAGCAAGTCCGCTTTCATTGATACTGGGAGAGGACAGGTAATGAGACCAATAACGGTGGGGATGAGGCACCACTTTGTGTTGGATGCGAAGGCGGAACGTGCTATTGGATCCTGCAGTGAAAAAGGAGAATAATCTAGTTTCTACTGGATAGAGACCTGAAAATGAACCTAGAGCAGATGGCTATATGGGTAAAGTGTAAACATTTGCTATTATTAAAATGCAAAGCCTTATCTATCTTTAATCCGTGAAATTGAGCTGCAGATTGTTTTCATTAGCCAAAACTTGAGACCCAGACAAAAGCATAAGATTTCACCCCCGATTAAACTTCGAGGCATCAAAGGGCTTCAAAGAGGAAAAAAATCAAATACAAAGGTGTCCACATGCATCAAGCAATAGCAGGCTTTCCCTTGCACATCAAGAATTAGAAATTGCAATAGTGGCTACATCATCCAGTACTTTAGGCTTCGTTTTGTCATTCTACAAAGGTTGGAGCAGCTTATAAATGATACGAAAAAAATGCTTAGTTATTCAAGAGGATTGATCCTTGACAAAGAGGTGATCAAAAGAGCAACAGAATTTAGCATTGCAAAAAGTCGAGATTCGAAGGTAAAACGGTGGCGAAGATTGTGTCGAAAATTCAACATCTTCGTCAAAAGACGAAGAACTTTAACAGGTCGTTCGCAGAGGACACCAAAAACGATATCAAGCGACGTTTACATGGTAAATCTGCTGTGAAAAAATTTCAGGGAGTAGACATACCATGACAGAGACACGGGTAATGAGCGCCACCACAATACGTAGAGCCCCTAGTTCCTCCGGTTGGATCTCAAGAGGTGCGGAGGCGGACTGAAGTTGTTGCTGTTCCCGCTGTTGTTGCATGAGATGAGGACCGCTCGCTGGTACCATCGAGGAGATTGTAGACTGGTGGTAGAGGTAAGGATGTTCCAGATGTAGTGGCTGAGCACCCACCGCTACACCTGATATTATCGTTGTGGCGCGCTTCAAGTGGTCCAGGTATTGCTGTAGGCTTGAGATGAAGTGATCCCAGGTGAGTAGTGAGGCCAGACGACCTGTGAAGGAAGAGAGTCTCGGTTATGACTAAAAGTTGCAGCTGTAGTTATCGTTGCACAAATATTCTCCTGAAAGCCAAGTGAAATGTGATGATAGCAATACAACAAATGACTCAAAATACAATAATGTCGACATCCCACCAAAGGCCATAATCAAAGAAACTCAGGAAAACCCGATACCGCTAGATTCAGAAGTTCCTTCAACTTAACAGACCATAATTCTAATCCCATTTGATAGAAACCGATCTGTGCGAAACTAACTTCGACTAGGAGTGACATTCAAAAATTCATTAGCCTCTGGGGTAGACATCGACGCTGTCCAACTCTTTGCTCTTATGTAAATGTCCTAAAAGAACGCTAAACAAACCAGTGTCAAATAGTAATTCCCTGACCCAATGGTGTGATATAGCTCATCAACGAGGATCATGCCTAGTAAGCCTTTGAAGCTTACAAAATCCATAAAAAAATTATTGAACTCACAACGACCGTACCTAATCTTACATTTGATATCAAGCACTCTACTGTTCAGCCGTAATGAACGATTGAGCAGTCGAAAAAAGAATAAAAATATAATTAGTGATTGAACACATACAATGATGAGATTTCAAAGTTCCACCGAACCATAAAAACATCAACATACCTCCTGAGGAGGCTGTAGCCTTGAGCAGATTGAAACAAAGATTGGCCGAAGCTTGACAGCCAACTAGAGAGCGTAGCATTCGAACGTAAGGCACAAATATAACAGGAGAGGAGGCAAACTCGCTGGTGGAGTAGACGAAACGAAACAATATTGCCTGAATGGAGAAAAATTGCTGATTCATTGTGATCGGTAGAAGAGGGTGCACAATGTACCCAATTCTGACACAAGCGCTAACCTGCCGCGAATTCTCTACCTCTCCTGTACGGAAGGATGCATTGAGGGTATCGGAGATCTGCGCTGATGGCAGATGTGTCTCGCCCGCTGGCCACCAGTACTCTAATGAGAGGCGTGCATGCAACGATGACCCTGGCACGTTGTAGAGACAAGAGATTGTATCCAGCAGCACTGCGAAACCGCCAGGATCCACACTCATTCGACGCATCACCGATTCGTCCCAAAGTCGCAGCTCGCGGGTATTTTGAGGAAATTGGATCAGTAATTCAGTGAGGAGACAATGCACTCGACGGACCCACATTGGCTTCAAGGATAACATCAAGCAAATACTATGCATCAAAAACGGGGCAAAAAGCAACGAAAGAATGGTTACCTCATGTGAAAAATACACTTCCGAAAGTATGCCGCTTGAAAGGAATTCCAAGGCTCGGGATCGAAGCGCTGATGTGACTAATTCGTCCTCATCAACATCTTCACATTCACGACCGTTGCTATCCTCCTTGCGACGACGCAAGTCTGCTCTAAGGTGTGCGGTTCGGTGCAGAGCTATAGCCCAAGCGATCTGTAAGAGACCATACAGACCTTCGACTGCAAGCGAAAGATTTTGTTGGTCGGTCTCAACGGGCAGAGTGAGTAGCTCCGTCACAGAGACCACATAACCGGCCTCCGAGAAGAGGGGATGCCGCAAGTCTAAAGGGGACATTAATTAGTGTAATGAAAAAGCAGAGGAGACATACCATTGCAATAATTATGCTGCTAACCTTGTTCATCCACATCAGCATATTGTTCAACAGTAATTCCAGCTGTACCGAAAGGTTCCAAGGAGAAGAGAAGAGCCATAAAGAGATGAATACTGCAATGGTCGAGAGGTAGTGAATCATTCACTTCGAGATCGACATCAGCATCTGTACTCGATTTGGAGCCGATAAGGTGGGTAAGCACTTGGGCCATTTCGGAAGGAGAAAGAGGTGTCTGTGCGGACCAAAGCATAACGCTCTCAGCAAGGCGATTCCGAATCGCTATGAGAAGGCGTCGAACATCACGACGGTGTTGGCGACTATCAAGAACACGAGCCGTCTCAAGACGCTTGAGTTCACTCGCCATGCTGAATTCTCTCAGGAACGCTGAAAAAAGATAGAAAACCCAATAAAATTGGTAAGCATTCGCGAATACGGAGGCGTGCTTAGAGTTAGCAACATACCAAACTTGGAATTGGATTATTAAGGCAATAAAATCAAATGCATCATCTGCTACAAAAGCATATAAAAAAGAAGGTGAATTTTCCTTTCTTAAATGGAATGTGAAATGCTGGAAAAAGAAACGCACAAAGAAGATTTTTTAGAAGTCCACTTTGCCATAGATCCTCAGTAAAGGAGCTAATAACATCTGCGACATCTCGGGAAGGAGGATCACTCAAGGGTATGCGTCCGACACGATGTTTGATGATCGAATTAAGTGACTCCGCCAGAGCACAGTAAGCATCGAAGTATAATGTGATCGCCAGTGGCACACGGCTCAAACCACTTGAGTAGGAAGATAGATGACCTTCGGCAGTTAGCACAAGTTCCAGAGCAGTGACCTCATTCATATCAAAGAGATCACTCAAGATGCAAGTTTCTTCGATGAGATCGTGCGTAAGAACAATACGTTGAGAAAGACCAGGGATAGCAATTGCTTCAACATCAGCCTTCTTAACTGACTGACGATCCTCAACCGACTTTCCCTAAACAATCAGTCGCAAGCAAGAAATGAAAAACCATCAGTTTATTTTTATACGAGGAATGATGAAGTAAGTACACTATCATCACCAGCCTATCACCAGTAATACTTACCGGTTTGTGCATGGGAAAAAGCAACGGCGTCCTGTGACGCTTTATGGATGTTTCGAATTCCATTAGTTGATCAATCCTACCATTAAACAAAACATCCGTAACAACGTTGTTAAATGTTTTGTATGCGGACCACATGTCGAAGACCTCAGCGAAAGCAGAATGGTTACTCAATGAAGGCTAACAGAACGCATGCCTAAATTTTTAAATAACTTTTTCAAGGTCAGTGATGACCAAAATTTGTGATGCATTGAACAAAAAAATAAAATAAAATATTAGACCGTTTGCATCAAAATAGTTTAATATTGCCCTTTTAACAACATTCATGATGCTGGTATCTTTTTATTTATTAAGAGTTACATAATTTAAGTCTATAAAATGGTTGAAGCCCATTTCTTAAGCAAGCCAAGCCTAGATAACAAATTTGACATAACCGTTAATAAAAAGGGTCGATTAAATGTATTGTAAATGCAACGACTAGCATGAATTTGCTCTATCATTTTGCGTTAGCAAATAATCGGCCGACCTGTCCCTCCACCAGAATGCGTCCTTTTAGACAGCCCATTAATTTACCCCGCGACTTCCAAACCAACTTGTTTTAGCCCAATGCTTTAAACCACATGCAAGTAGTTGATCACTTCCTAGGCATCACCTTGGATCAAGAAATTTTTGGCTCATCTCGACTTTTTCCGACTATCTTACAGCAGTAAACCCTCATCTTTTCTTAGAACTTCACCCTATCCCAACACTTTTAATAACCACAGTGATGCATTTGTCCCTCCACTCCTGGTTTTGGTTAGGGAAACTGAATAGCTGTTGCAATCTTGTCGGGTTGAATGGCTTCCAGCCCACCGCATCGGCCCTAGCCACGCATGCTCACCAAGTGTGCATGCTTCACCCCAGTTCGGTCTCAACTTCCTCTTCAAGAGATTAGTGTCGCTGCACCACCACCAAACTGCTTCTTGCTAGACCATTCGACGGCTACTCGCCGCCTAAAAGCATGGTTTGTTGGTTGGTAATGATGGTGCCCTAAATCCCAACGCAGAATGGCGACCAGATCTGTGCACATCACCCACCAAGGCAATTACCTCATGAACAAGAGCAGTCGTACCTGCCTCAGCTTCATCCATCGCCTTCCGGTACGACGGAGTCGACCATGCGACTCCACAGAGTTGGAAGTAATCAAATCACATGCCTTCCCTCCTCCTCGCCAAATGCAAGTAATTCATGTGAGTACTGGACCAGGAGGTCACATACCTAGCCTGCAATGACCTTAGGGTTGGTTAATCTACCGCGTAATTTACTTATTTGGCTGATTTCTCAACTCTTTACAAGCGAAAACGGTGTTAATCATGCATGGGTGAAAAATGTTAATGCATAGACGTATGCAAACGCAATCGAGAAGGGAGAATAAGGATAAGGACATAATTTTCCACAGAAATCCAATGGATACAAATAAAACTACTTCATCTAATGCATAGTTACCATTTCCATTTTCACTCATTGAAGTTCTCATTCTGCGGGGGAACGTGTGTCTTGAAGGCCTTCACACAACGTGACATAGTCTGGGAGGCTCGGCTGATGGCGTCATTCATGAAGTACTGGTAGAGTTCCTTCATCGACACACTCAGAGGTAACTTTGAATCAAGATTTTTGAGTCCCTTTTGATATTCAAGCTAAAACAACGTCAAAATCACTGAAGAAGATCTGGAACTCCCAAGTGCAAAATATGGAAACAACATCATAATACCTGATTAGCCTGACCTTTTAGTTTCACAATATTACCAATACATTGACCACATTACTCGCAAGACGAAATTCTAGGCTAGAGGGTTAAATTAGTAGCAGCGCCGACTGACCGACTCTAAAAGACCAATCAACGTCAAAGTGCCACAGAAGAGGAGCATTCGTTACCGGCTAAAGAAGATGGTCCGCAGTAATGAAATAGTGCCGCCACAAATGCAGTGGCTACTCTACTCATGAAGACACCTGCACCCATCAAAAGGCCTCGCGTTCCAACTTTCTAGGCGTTCCCGATCGTGTGGATAGGTCCCATAGACTATGAAAACGTTGACATTATCACACCTTTTCGGATGAATGTTTCCACGAAAAGCGACTGCTATACAGAATTTGTATATTGCGAAAAGGAACCTCAGTTTTGAAGCGATCCTCCCTTCGTGAGTTCTCCCTGACAAATACCGTAGTGCGTAAAGTTTTCATACATGCTCACGATTTATACTACCATCAACGGGGCAAGCAGCATTCATTTCTTACTTCCCCTTCCTGCCCTACAACGAATGCCGACAAAGTCGTCCTGAACGATACTAGGAAAGGTACAATCAAATCTAAAACTGCTTCAATCGTCTACCTACCTACGTACCTATGTAGGTCTCGTAGAATTATTCAGGATGGCTGATGGGTTGGCGAATGCATTTCAAAAAGCAATGAAAAACCGTCACTGTCAGTGGAATACAAATCCTCGTTATAGATCGCTGGTGTAAACTCCCAGAGCTAATAAAAGGATATGACATTTTCATGGGAAATCAAATCGCTCAAGCGCTCAAAAGTATATTACAGCATCCAAACAGTAGTTGACTTCGACCGCCACCTACGAAAGAGGTCATTTTGTTATGTAACTCGACAGTATCCAAACTATAAAAAGGCGAAAGATAGAGGGGGAAGAGAGAAGTGAATCACCTTAGCATCAGCAGCGGCAACCTTGAGGCATTCCAGATCGGCACTTTGGACAACGTCCACCTCAAGCAGACCAGGTGCTATTTGGTTCATACGTTGGCGCACCCCCTTGAGATCATCATAAGGGAGAGGACACCCAGCGACCTCGGATACAGCGCGTACAATAGCCCAATCTTGGCGCGCGTCGCCTGGCGGTGCCACAGCGGGGTAAGTACGCTGCGCCCGACCCTCCAAGTTGGCGTAAGTTGCGTGCTTCTCCGTATAGGCGGCACCGGGCAGCACAATGTCCGACATCTTTGCTCCGTGGTCACCGTTATGGCCTGGGATTTTAAAAAGAAAAGTGTTGGAAGTTTACTGCTTGCAACGTACATACGCACGGAAACTATACATTCATTAACTTGTAAACACGCAAAAGAAAACTACTGTTCGCTCATTTGGAGTAGTAAGTTTACGCTTGGATGACTGACTTTTACTAGACAACGTACAAATATTACCAGGTGTTTGGCTGCCATCCCTTGCTGTAACATTACTCCATTATTAATCATCATAAACCACAGATGGCAATGCCACAGATATGCCGCTCATTCAATAAAACAATTGCCCAGCTAGCAAAGTCGGATTTCCAACCAATTGGATAACGTCTTAAATTACGGGCTTGTGAATTGCAAAAGCTTCCATTCCTAACTTTTATTAACCAAAACCAAATCGTTTAAGAATAAAATGATTTTCACAGTAAAAAAACGAACCGATATAGATAACCATGCAGTCCTCTGGCAAATGAGCGCGTGTTAAGTGACCTTGGTCAGCCCCTAATAAGATAGCCACCTTAGGCTGAGTGGTTCGCAGGGCCTCTAGTCCGGGGATGTACCCAAGGTCCATAGCGGCTACTTGACTGGCGTAGCGTTGCAGCACGTTGAAACGTCGCGCACCTTCCTCTGCCGAGGGCGCAAAGCGACACGCCAACTGCTGCGCCGCCGCATGCAACGCCGCGCCGTCCGCACGCTGCAGAACCTCACTACCCACCACCACAAGAGGATTCCTTGCCGCTGCCAGACGCTGGAGACATGCACAACAAGGAGTTACGCCACTGTGCAGACGCAGATGATAAACCAAAGCAGTGATACCACCAACAACAAACTTACTATGAGCACAAATTGGCACATACCGGCGTCGACGGTATCCATAAGTGATACAATTTAATCTAGTAGCTAAACCTGAACACCAAGGGATACTCAAAGGTTTACTACTGCCAAGTTATCGAGATGAAAACGAAGTTGGTCCTATGGCGTTTAAATTACCACGTTAGGCAACATGTAGAAGTGGATGGATCCAGGAATGCGATTCAATGGGGTACTTGGATCAAGAATGACTGTGCAAGCATTGAAAATAAGCACATAGTAAGGGCAGCTCAAGTCAAGATGTCGGTGCAATTCAGCTGCAAACACACGAACTATAGTAGATCATTTAGTAAATACTGCTGTTGCCGAACCTTTCAAAGGATAGAATGAATTAATGTTGGACCAAGTTAAATGAGTACATTTGAAATAAAAAAAAGGTAACAGCATATTTAAAGATGTACGCATGCGATTTCGTTTTGCAAGACTTGGCATAATGTTCGAGTCCACCGGTCAAAGTCAGGCAATATTTTGCAGTTAAACAGCGCTATCTGATACTTATCCATTGTAAGCTTGGTTTTACAAAGAAAAGTGGCGCAGGTGTAGTTAAGTAATAAATGAAACCAAATCTATGGTTGATTATTTTAAAAAAATGTGCCTTTCTGCGCATGAAAACTATTGCGACTTTGAATGCTTAAAAGATGCAAGATAAGGACCGGGGGACAGGGTAATAAAGGACATTCAATCTTTCGAATGCTCATACAATGCAAAGATTATTGAAAGTACCTTAGCGAAGGGGTGCTTTCCAGAAATAATGTCGGAAATTATCGAGGTTGATGATCCAAGGTACTGGAAATGAAAAATGAGTAGCTGGTGTGATGAATCTAATAAGGCATCACTTAAAATACCAAAAAAAAAAAAACAAACACAGTCGGAAAACGAATGAAAACGATGTGCTAAACTATGCGGTACGAGTGAATACAGGTAAAGAGCGCTACCAAAACCAGGTAAATACAATGAAAGCTGATGCACTGACATGACTGGTAAATGCTGCTGAAGGGCAGATAACGACAAGATGAGGAAACTAATAATGAAAATGTTGAAGCATCTGCTAACGACGTATTCGAGGTCACGAAAAACCATGCAATGAAGGTTAAATTGAAATGTAAAAACTGCCTGACCGGAACTTACCTCATAGTCATATGTGAGATCAACCTTTTCACCGATCAAGGCCACGTTCAATTCATTATTGAGCCAGTTCTTTCGTATACGTGCGTTAATCAATGGCGCTTCAAATCGCGGGTTTGTGCCGATGAAGAGGACCAAATCAGCCGCATCTATGCCAACAATTTTTGAATTGAACAGATAATTAGCTCGCACATCGGTTCTACAGGCAGAGAAAGTGATAAAAATGGAGGCTTAAACACGGACGGAAAGGAGTAAACGAGGTACAAACCTATTCAAAGGGAAGTTCTCCTCAACAAAGACTAATTCAGAGTTCATAGAATTAGCAAAATCTTTGGCAGCGGTCATGGTTTCGGCATCAGCAAAAGGACCAGCGATTACGGCAATCTGGTTGGGTGAACATTTGGCAGGTTCGCCAGACCCCAAAGATACGAGGCGTTCACCAATGGTAATCAAAACCTCTTCCCATGAGGACCGGTGATGAAGCTCGCCACCTTTTGGGCGTACCAAGGGAAACACAAGACGCTGTCGTTTGAGACCATCACAAGCATAACGTGACTTATCCGCCAACCACTCCTCGTTCACATCCTCATTCAATCGAGGCAGAATACGCAGTACTTCATTGGTACGCATTGAGATAACGATATTTGAACCCACTGCATCCATCACATCGATGGACTCAATGCGTCTGGTCTCCCAAGGCCGCGCAATAAATGAGTAAGGCTTAGAGAGAAGAGCCCCCACAGGACAGAGATCAACAACATTGCCTGAGAGTTCACTTTCAATCATTCGATTAACGTATGTCCCGATCTGCATGCTGTTGCCACGGCCTGAGGTGCCGAGGTGTGGCACCCCAGCCACCTCGTTGACAAATCGGACGCAACGTGTACAGTGAATGCAACGAGTCATGCAGGTCTTGATGAGAGGGCCCATATTGAAATCTTCAACGGCTCGCTTACCCGAAAACAGGTTGTCGGTAAAGCGAGAACGGTCAGATCCAAAAACCATGGCCTGGTCCTGAAGATCACACTCGCCCCCTTGATCACAAATGGGACAATCCAGAGGATGATTTACAAGCAGAAACTCCATAACACCCTCCCTAGCTTTCCTTGTCATCTCAGAATCAGTCTTTATATGCATACCCTTCCAGACTGGCATTGCACAGCTAGCAACAGGTTTGACAGAATTCTCGACTTCTACAAGACACATTCTGCAACTACCAGCGATCGAAAGCCGTTCGTGATAACAAAACCTGAAAATCAACCGGATGGTTTAAATGTGGAAGTAGAAAATAAAGTTGGGAAAGGTACAACCAACTAACCGCGGAATCTCCACACCAACTAGACTACAAGCCTGCAAGACGGTCATACCAGGTTCGCAAAGTACAGACTTCCCATCAACAAAGACTTCAATCCTGTCATTAACCGGTTTGGGTGGAGGATTATTAGAATTAGCGGGAGCGCTTGCTACGGCTGGAACTGCGGAACGCAAAGTCTGGGCAAGGTGAATTGACTTCAGGCTAACTGTAAGGAAAGCGAGAAAAAAATTGAAAAAACCCCAAAACGGATAGGAGAAGATATGATAACGCAGCGATACTGGTGCGCATAAAATCTGAAGAGTTCTTTTATAAAGAGTAAAAAAGGTAAAAGGCAAAAAAATTGAGATTCAACGTTCAACATTCGCCAATGCAAAATGACTAATATAGCTGCAAAGTCCCACCTTTAGCTAGATTACTAAACATGGCCGGTTTAAGAGCCGAGAAACTAAGCATCCCTCATAATCAACAATCTATCAAACAAGGCGCCCCAGGTGGGAGGTAGCGGTGAATACAAAATATTTAAAAACTGTCTTAAAAATGCCTATTATTTTACATGTCAAAAAAGAGATAGCGAATCTAATGATGTAAAATTTTAAGTACTTTCATCAAACGAGCATTACAAAATTTTAAAACTGCATCTTAACCTAGTCAAAGGTTGAATGTAGCGTCCCGAGACATACCACTAAATAGAAGAAGTCAATAGATGGAGCTAAATACATGCAATGTAGGGAGAAAAAAGAGACATCCTGACCTGTGCTTAAAAACCAGCCCACGCATACAAAGGCCAGACAAATCCTAAAGTTATCACCATGTATTATTTGGTTACGTAAACAAGGAGCTACACACTCTCACTTCTCTTGAGAGACGTCCTCAGTGGACACCTCGGTACATCTCCCGTGCCAGCCATCGCAACATAGTCGGTACTGATAGAGAACGCACACGAGCCAACTTGATCTCCTTAGCAGCCTCAACTGGACCTGGAGTTGCGTTCGATTTTGTAATGCTTAGTTTAGTGTCTACCTGACGTTCGTCGGTCACTTTAAGATTTGTCTGATCCTTGTACTCGTGCGCTGGCCTTCGGGCCAAGCTCAGGACCATTTGCTTTGTTTTCTTCGAAATACACATATCCAGCCTCAATTACTGCCTTCTTCCGCCCTATGGGAAGTCTCAGAACAATACATTGGTGGCAACAGAAAGTGAACTCGACAGTTTTAACGACCTCTTTCCCAGCATGTACCTACGTGTGGACAAATGGCATTTACCTCGGTGGCAGAGAATCTCTGAATCCCTCACAACGAAGGGGTTGTGTCTGACTTGTTTCACAAGCAAGCTATTAATAATTAAAGCAAAACCACCGCGAACCATCTGAAAAAGTTTCCTGTCGAAATTTCTTGCACGAAATCCGTGTTCGGGTATCAAAAATGACACTACGGTCCCTCTTGCATATGGGACTGTAATGCCTTGTATATATGACTATCTGACATTTGGCGGTGGCTTCGAAATTTGTCTGGCCCTTACACACGTGGGCTTGCGTTCGGTTCGCGCTCAGATCCGTTTGCCCTGTCGTCTTCAAAATGCATGTATTCAACCTCACTTATGCTTTCTACCACCCTACGGGAAGTCTCGGGACGCTACACTGGTGGCAGCGGAAAGCGAACCCAACATTTTTTTGCCGACTTCTAGGTGTAAAGTGTTTTTTAAGACCTGCTGCAGCCAGAGTGAAGTCTTTCTGCTGCTTGTTCTTCGTTGGTCGTTTGTTAAAAGCAACATAGTATTCCGGACAGTCTGTTGCCCAACAGACATCGCTGTCTTACTGACATCCTACGTTTGCGTCGCCAAAGTTTGCAAATGAATCAACTGATTTCCCTTGGCCGGAAAGTCGGAACCTCTCTTTTCACGACAAGAAGGTTATAATCCAACTAGCAGACAAGATTGCAAAGGAATTCTACCTTTTAGTAGAGAAACCCAAGATCAATAAGCGCATTTCGGCGTTGTGCACCGGCATTCATGAGCTATACATGGGTAGAAGGAAGTCTGACTCTCGAAGTGCAGTAGATGAAGATACAGGCGAAAAGGGGTGGGAATTGAAGGAGGAATCTCTGAATCCTTCACAAAAAAAGGATTTGGACTGACGTCTACATTTGGGTTCACCTTATTTCCTGTTCCACAGACAGGTTATTAACAGGTTATTAACCCTTCTGTTGTAAAAGGTGTAGAGGTCCTCCCGCTTTTAATGTAAATGCGCTTCTCCCAACGCGCTGGAACTGCAATATTGAAATATCCTAAGGTAGAAGTCGTTAAAATATGTTGGGCTCGCTTTCCACTTCCCCAGTGTAGCTTTTTGCTTTTTCGAAGTAAACATATTTTAGTTATTATTCTCGTTTAGTAGTTTGCTTTTAGTTGGATAAAAAATTACCAGCACTTTATGATATTTTTTAGGCTAGCCAATGGAGTCCTTCTTGGGTGCCTCGTCCTCTGTTTCTGACCTAAGCTCTCCACAATCGGTTATGGTAGGCACTGCTGGTGCCTTCATCGGGAAACATGTAAACATCCCAACTTTTTGCAAAATTAAGGTTGTCGTTGTCGAGTACCATAACGAGGTATTCTTATTTCTGTCTGTAATTTTCGAAGGCTCTTAGGTATATTTATCGCTCTATTGGGGCCAAAAAAATTCCGTTTGATGGTCTTAAGCTACTTCATATCGACTCTCACCCAGATTTGTGTATTCCTAATATACACCCGTCCAAAATCTTATCTAAACCATATGAAATGCTGAAGTTTGTGGTGAATGGTTCTGGCAGCTTTAGGTATACTGGCATAGAAAACTGGATTTTCCCTGCAGTTTTCGGGAGACACATTAATCACGTTATTTGGCTGCATCCTCCTTGGTCGAAGCAGTTAACGAACCGTCGTCCTACTCGGTATTTTATTGGTAAATGCAAGTCGTCGGAGACTTTGACGTGAGTACTTTAAGTACGTGTACACTCGTTTATCTGCACCGTTCTTCATTGTTTATTGTTGCTGGAAGCTTCGGAACTCCATCCGATCACTTTCAACTTTGTCAACCCGTTGGTAAATCGTTGAAATGTTTTTGTCGGCGTCAAGCAATGCGCTTTCACGCATTTTAGTGTAAATGTTCCAGAAGCCTACTTTTACAATGAAGGCATCTACGCTCATCGTAAAGACATGGAGTCGTCGGTCCCTTTTACTCTCACCGTCGGCACTATACACGAGTCAAATACAATGTGCAGTGCCTGCACGGACATTACCAGTGCATTGATCAATGAGGCTTTTATTCTAGACGTCGATCTGGATGCATTTTCTACTAGAGATCCATTTCGAGATTCATACAGTGCTGAACAGGTAATGGTTGCACTTTGGCGTTGAAATATTTGCAGTTACTGAAATCAAGTCTGCTATATTGATCTCGTGTTTGTAGCGTTTGTAGAGGATCGATTATCTATTGCAGTAATTAAAGAGTGAGTACGTTCGGTTCTTTTGGAACAGATTTTTTTGGTCTGACTTTAGGAGGCAGTACAAGGCTACATTTCTTTAGTACGATGGAGGCTATTTGTGGTGTACTCAAGCATTTATGGAAGTATGCATTCATCAGACCTTTTGCAAGTGACCTTATGTTAAAATCTTGCGTGCCCTATGTCTGTGGGTGTTCGGATATTGTTTGCTAGAATGGAGCCATGGGGTTGTAACTTTTAGCATGCTATTACTTCTCAGATCCTGCATTTTTTCATGTTTTTCACTTAGAACGAATCTGTCATTTGCAATTGGAAATTGTTTGCTTTAGTCTGATTTTGCGGAGCTTGCGTTGATAGGATAGATAGTTTTGCTGCAGTTGTACGCATAACTCGACAGAACAGGTTTATCATTTTTGACCTGACCTCTTCGCCGCACAAGTTCAGGTGTTAAGCAAGGTGTTTATGGGTTAATTAGCATTTGGTTGCAAACACATCATTGCTGATTTTGCAAGCATTCACATAAATTTGGATTTGGCATTGTTGTCAAGGTATTGAGGAGGCAAATTCCCGACGCCTTGGGGAGCCTAAGTGCAGTCTTTGTCATCGTTACTTAAATCGCAGAAGCTAAGATGTTTCTTATAAGTTGACATTGAGTGATAATATTCCAGTAGGGAATCAATTTCTAGCCGTTATATTTTAGATCTTGATGCAGTAACGATCTGCAGTAGTTATGGTCTATGTGACTTGAGCCGATTCCGTGACATCATAAACGCCAGGAATGTATCGTGCAAAATACAGGTGTTAAAGTGAAAACCAAAAAAATGACGAATTTTCCATACTTATCAGCTGAAGAGCGGCGTATCATCCTAGACTTGCAGTATTTTATTGTCTAACTGCGGAGCGACTAGGAACTTAGCAACTTCGGCGGTCTTAGGCATGCCTATATCGATCACGTGTAAATAAAATAAATGCCTAGTTAACACATGCAGGATTGGTGCGTTTTGTTTTGTCTAGTTCGCACTGATTGACAAGCTCTTCACAGCCCCTCGTCCACCGCCACTGGGACTGCTGCCAGAAACCTCTGAGGTAGACGCTTCTACTGTGACGTCGGCAGAGGCGGAGGTCGTGTTTGAAAGTGCTAGTCTCGCTGCGAAGGTGGTTTGTGAGGAACACAAGGCTCATCTCTCCACCTTATGGCGCTGCATGCGCACTCTGGCCACTGGTGTGCCGATTGTGAATGAAGAAGGGGTGTCATCGATTTGTGATTCTCACGAAATGCTTGCTCTCGCTACTCTTCTCCTCTCTCTCCCACAGGGCACATTCTCAACCTGTGTTCATGCTGCCATCCAAGCCACCCATTCCGCTGCCCTTTTTTCGATTCAGCAGTATTCCGGTACCGACTCATCGCCTCGTATCGCGCCTAATGACGGTGAGTCCCTCTCGCAAAAGTACCTTTAAGGAAGTCAGGAACGCATGCGATTCCCAGCTAATATTTTGCATTAGCAAGGCGTCGTGCTGCTAGCGTAGATGCTGATATGGAGGTGACTGAGAATATCTACATAGGTAAGCCTTCATGGTCGCTGTCCTACTTCTTTTGTACGGAAGGTGAATTTGCTGTAACCAAACACAGGGCAGAGATTATGATTGTTGGATAAATATCGATTAAGCGGCGAAAAGCCGCCACATTTTACCGCAGTTCAAATTGAAAGCTTGTATTATGTAGTTTTAAATGTTTTGTATGTCATAAAATTTTATGCTGCAAACGTCCATCTCCTAACAATCCTTTAGACCACTTGCTGAAAGCTAAACCATTTGATAAATATGAAGTATCCACCAATTTTCAAGTGTTAACTCCTAAAAGGCTCGGATGATAGTCAAATCGAGAGGTGTAGACGGAATTTTGTTGCTGAAACCTTGAGCTGAGATCACGTTTCCTCCTGGTTTCCAGCAAGCAAAGTTGGGGATTTGCTTCTTTGTATAAGAATCTGTTCTTCCTGTCGTATTTCAGCACACCGTCGTCTAGGAGGTAAAGTATAGGGAACGTAAGTATAAACCTGAGCAGGGATGGTGTTTCACTTGGCCCTATCTTTCGCTCTCAATGTGTTTCCTTGAAAGCTGCAGAACTTGTAGGCCAATTGGTAGTTTTGTTATCAAATGCACCGAAATTCCTGAGAACGAAGTCTGTGATGGGATCACGAAGAAATAAGGAGTCTGCGATGATATGTAGTCTTGGCGCAGAAAAGGTGAGGAAATAGTATTTGAAGCGCACTTTTGCTTCCACTTTAGTTTATAGCTGCGTATGATGGACGGCAATGTAAATCTACCCGTTTTTAGACAGATCAAAATTATTCATTGAGAATTTGTTTGGGATTGTCGCCGATATGCCAATTTTTGTATCGTATCTTAAATAAATATTTCTTACTTATGCAGTCCCCCTATTGAAGTTGTTATCCTTCCACCTTGTCACAAGTTCATGTCATCTTTGTTTCTACTCTCTGTTTCCTCCCAACATGTTGGAGGTATTGAAGCTGAATATTTGTCAGGGAAGTCATTAGGGATTGTGCATATCGTTAGAATGGGCTCACACATTAAAATTATACTTCTTCTAGTCATGTGCAGTTGTTATTGTTAATGCGTTAAACCTTTCATTGGTGATGTTTAACCTGAATTCTTCTTAAAGTTGTTTTTTTTGCTTGAGATTTTCACCTGTCAACTCTCGGAGTAACCCTTGATGTTGTGTTCTAATGTAAAGGCCTTTTTACGTAATTAATACTGGGTCGCTACCTTGATGATGCTGGATCCAGCCTATTCTCGTGCGCCTTAGCGAAGCTAATTTATGCCTGCATACCTCGGACTTAACACTGCGAGCATAATAGCTTCTTATACTCTCAGATTTGTCGGAGTTGGATGAGATCGGTCAACTGCGACTGTCTCACTGCGGTCTATCTCCAAAGAGCTGTAGTCCTGAACCACCGAAAGAGAAACAGCAGCGGGTGGATTCCGATGATCCTGGAGATTGCGAAAAGACAGATCTAGCAATGATGGCTTGTCTTCATGACTTATGGAAGAGCCTAGCGGATAGGGAGAACTACCCTTTACCACACTACGTAAGAGTTACTTGCTATCTTTTTCACAATTCTCTCTATAGGTTTCTTCGACTCAGGAGCAGGAGGAGCTAGTGGCAGGTCTAGAGAGTCTCCTGAATCGTCTGCACAATCCCTGCCTCATCACGGTAGCTCGATCCGTGGAGGACGGTTACACGCCGGCGGAACAAATTGCTGACTTGCAGTTGCGGTTCTTCAAAGCATTGCAGCGTATCTATGGCACAGCGATGCTTTCTGTGGTGCTCGATTACGATGGGTGAGAAATTCTGCTTTACTGGACTAGCCAGTCATCACTTTGGAGTGTAAACAGTAACAAAAACATCTGCTTGATGAGCATAGTACGATGTACTGTGCCTTTCAACACCCAACATCCAAACGTATTCGTTATTTTCCTCACATCCTCCTTGTTTCCTAGAGCGTTTTTGCTGTCATCGCTGTTCATAGCTTCACCAAGTGCTTATCCCGAGTTTTCCCATTTAGAGCCACTGTTGATGCGTCAGCTCTGCGGTCAATGGGATTAGAGGTGATAGAGGCTCGAGGTGAGGCACATCCACCGTGAACCTGTGAACTGACCATCCTTTTCTATGATTTGAATGTGTGTATTTATAGTGCACATCATATATGCATGTTTGATTGATTTGGTTTCTTCATAATTCACTCACTCCAAGGATTGAAAGAACTTAGCGTTTGGATTTGATTATAGTTGGTTAGAGTAGTAGTGGACTTCCTTAATCCCCGATGAAAGGCAGTTTGAGGAGGCATTTGGCTATTTGACGGCAAGTGGAACATAGAGGTAGGTCCATATCCCAGAATCGAGTGAACGTACCCAACCAAGGCTTGGTGATTTGAGGTGGTTTCTGGCGAGGGCTGTGGAACAAAGTGTACCTTGATAGTGCTTGTTCCGTGGTTAGGATGGATAGATGTACTGCAGCAGTTGCATGAACAAGCAGTCACACCAATTTTTAGGCAAAAAAAATCTGGAAAGATGTCAGCTGACTTTTGAGGAGTGGCTCTTGTAGCGTTCCGAGAAGGCAATAAGTGAAGCTAGACACGTATTCCAAATAGGGCAGAGCAACTGAGCCTGAGCATGGTCCGAAGAGCAGCCCACGTGTACAAGACAGGAAAAATCCTGAAGTGACCGCTAAACGTCAGGTGGTCATACACATAAGTCATTACAGCTCTAGCCTCCAAAAGTGCTTCCGCATGTACAAGAGTAAACCAACATGTCTGTAGTACTTTGTTAATGTGATGGCCTAATGTCTGGTGGTTGATTTGGTGCTGGTATTGCCGCGTTAGCTGGTTTACGGGCCATGCAAAGGTCAAGCCTTCCCTCCTTTTCCTAAGACACGTGTGTTTAGCCCAAATGGATGCCTTCATTTTTCGAGTGGGAAGTCTTGAGTCGCTACGGCTTTTATTTGTGGTAGTCAAGTTAACAGAAAAGACCACGCAAACCATTTAGAAGTTTTTATTATTTGACGACCAAAATTTGGCTTTTCATGCCTAATGAAAGCTAAATGGCACATATTCATCACTTCAAATGAGCAATGTTATGATAAGTTAGTTGGAAGCTTCAAAGTTAGACCGCTCGTTTTGACTCACTCCTCTTGAGTATATGCCTGGTTTGTGGCGTAATGTCGTCTGGTAATGATTCGAAAGTGGTTCCTGTTGTGCGTACGATGGATTTTACAGAATTCGTAGCATACTTGAAGGAGAACAAAGACGCATTCAGTGATGCAAGAGTACCATCTCACTCGGCTCCTGTACCGAAACGCCAATCATTACAGAGGAATAAAACAATAGCGAATACTCCTAGTGTACTAAGACCCAAAAAGCAGAAACCTCATCTTGAGGAGAAAAACTCTACTTTGGACTCATATGTTATAAAGGTCCAGTTGCCGAGGTCCCCAACGTCGGACACTCCTCTCAGCACGGGGAAGAGTGTTTCGATTAGCCCAGGAAATTTGACATATTTTTCAAAAGCATCATCGGTATCCTTAAGGACGTCTGAGACAACATCCCCGACAATGAGTGAGGAAAGCAGGCATCAACAGTCTCTTTCTGCACGCAAATCAAGCTCAACAACAGAGAAAGATGAGGAATCGATTGAAATTGATCTTACTCGTTCAGACTCCACTACATCCACCTCATTATCAAACGGAAATAGATAACGAGTTATCACTGTATGTATCTCATGTTAATTTTTCTGATACTGTTATTTTTATAGTTGCCGACCTTTTACGAACTGTGTCGACTTCTACTTTTGTAGGTCGCTGGCTTTTAGGTTTTTTAATTAACTAACCGTTTCTTTTGACGTGAATCGAGGTAAAACAATTTGGTTATTTTGTTTTCTACTTTAACACAAATTAAGACCATCCGTTTTATTACATAGCATTTGTGAGGTGAGTGTTTTGGTCTGTATGCTCTTAATGATGGTCTGCCGATTTTTAGGTATTAGAGCCACGTTCGAAGATATGATGTATTATTTCTTGAGTTTCACAGAAGCGCTTTTGTTCTTCTAGCAGCTTGGGTCATATTTGCCGATAGATTTGGGAGCCAACGTTTGATAATTTCAAAATATTGGGTGGCGCCTGCTTACTGGTATGAGTTGTTGTTTTCTGTATCAGTGTAATTTGCTGGATCAAGTAGAGTACTTTGTTTACATCAGAATGAAGATCATTCTTTGAGATTTCAGCGGTTATTGAAATTAGCAGCTTATGATATTGAACTAACGCATTCGATCAACACGCTGCTCATTTTTATTTGGGAACTGGTCTATAAACCTGCAGAGCCCTCTCCCATAATGTTGATGTATTTAGCACTTAGCGTCTAATGGCATCATTTCTAGAATTTTGTAGGATTTCAGGTAAAATATCGATTGTTGGATAAGAGGACTCATATGCATAGTGGCGTCTCAAGACCCTTCTCTGGATAGAAAACTAGTATGGCCGTTAAACAGCCTGTCACTAATAGGCAATCATGACCAAGCAATACAGTAGAGCGGTGGATTTGCTCGTTTATCTGAAGCACTTATTAGTTTTTGTTTTCAATCAATAATTGCGAAATTGTTACTTTTTCCTTTGGCAAGGCAGCGGTATGTCTTTGTCCATGCCTTTATAAAAAAATCTCGGCTAATTTTGTGGCATAAGTTTTAGGTTCTTGAACACAATTGACCTTCATGTCAACTCCTTTATAGAAGGATAGTTTTTAGCGAGATCTGAAATCAGGTTTGTCACCGTTGTGAGAGACATGCCTAGAAGGTGGTGTTAAGAGAAACGGTTTATTCATTAGTGAATGCCTCTTAAATGTCGATTTGGGTAGTGGATAGTGGGTTTAAAATGAGTCTAGTATTTTGTGGTGATGGTAGATTACCTGCACCGGCTTCCTTGCGTCATCTCCCATACTCATTTAATTGTTGCCTACTTGATGCTAAGGTGAATTCGGTATAATTTAATTTGGTTAGAGTTGTAATGTTTAGTACTCACGCCGGTTTGCTAGTCTAAAGCAAACTTAGTGGACATATGCAAAATTTTTGTCATGTATACCATATCCTCTACCCGCATTCCCTTACGTAAGCTTGCTAGGCTGAGTTGAATGATATGCTTTTTGATAGCTACTGCTGCAGCAGCATATGCTATGGGTTCAGTGCATTAGTACATCATCAACCTTCGATTTGTAATTTGGTTATTATTAATGCGCTAGTATTTAGACCCTCAGAATCAAGGCTTTTAGTTATTATTTCCACCTAAGATATTTGATTACTTAGCCTTTTAGAGTCTAGTGAATATAATCCACAGAATAAAATTGGAATGACTAAGTTACAGTGATGACGTTGGAAGGAAGGGAACTGTAGCAAAAGGCAATTTGCTTTCGTGCCTTGTATTGGGCCTTAAGATGCATCACTGATGTTGACTTGACCGGTTACTTTCATGTGCATCAGGTGATAATTCCTTTTACGAATTAGTTCAAAGGCCTAAATGGCACGGATTTTCCAAAAACATGGCCTGTTCAGCTGTGAAGCAGGTTACAGATTTCATGGGGTGAATGTTAAATCGTGTTAGTAGTTGCGCAGTTAAATAATTGTCTATGTGGTCATCTGAGTATTCGGTTCAGTTCTGCCTTAATGCTAGATTTGAAGTCTAAAAGGAATCAAGGAGCATTTACTGAAGTAACAGCTGTTTGAGCTCCTTATTTGCGAAGCCTAAGGGCTTCTATCTTTGTCCAAAAGAAGTTGTAGTAAGGGCAAATTAATTTGTGTGGTTTCAATTTCTGAGTACTAGTGAAGTGGGTGCTTTTAAATGATCCGAACAAAGGGATTTTCAAGCATATCACTACTCATGGAGAGGAGGAAGGTTTGAATCTTTTCGCGTGATTTTTGGACTTTTTGCTGATGCGCTCTATGGGAAGACGAACGTTGGTACCAAGCAAAAGCATTCGGGGTAAGAGCTAATGGCCTTAGAAATTTACCTGCGGCTGCGATCACTCCACATAATCTATACGTTTGGATGGTTGACCTATTTCCCTTCTGTTGTCATAAGTCGCATTCTACTTTATGGAGATTCCTTTATTTTCTCCTAATTTTTACAAACCGTGAGGAATCTTACGGTAATTCATCCCACTTAATTAATATCATTTGTCAATCGGTACACATAATAAGTTAATTGCTTAAATGTATCTTCTCTATTATTTATGGCTTCAAGATGTAGCATTCACGCCTCCTATATTATGGGCTGATAAACTGTTACTTTATTGGCTGCAGAAGGGTCCATGGTGGTATATGCATTTTGGCTCGAAAATTACTGACGTCGACAGAAGCATAGGTAGACTATGAGGCCAAGGTATTACTCTGATGCCCATTGTTTTCACTTGATTAGCCTCTGCCTCCGGTATTTGCGTAGGAAATGAAAAGTTCTAAGTACTTGAAGTACTTAACATACTCTAATCATCACCTGGACTCTGATTATTCAAACTTCCACGTTGGTCACCACAACATAATTTGTTCGTTATAATTCACGAACTACCTTTACTCCAGCTATTGCAGTGATACACAACTATGACCACATCTGATAGCATCGCCACCGCCCCTCTTGGCAATTCTAATAAAATCGGAGTTCCATTCTGTTTGGAAGCTGTATTGGCTCAAGAAGGAATGTGCTGTTCATCGCCTATGCTTGTCGTTGGATCGAAACAACACTGATCTTGGGCTACTAACCTCATAAGGGACGGCGTTCGAAGCAGTTTGTTTCTGCTTACTACATCGCGTCCAGTCTTTGTCGTCCAGTTGTAGGAGGCATCGCGTGTTCGCATGCTTGATGTCTTCATGCATGAACCACGCGTAGCTCCGTAGTGCGTAGCTATAGGTAGTCCGCCGTCACGATCAGAGCTACTTTCTCAGTGAAAAGCATGTTCACGGAACATGGGATGAAGAAGATCGTCGGAGTATTGGGGCAACGGACATTGGCAATGGGTCGCCACGTTTTACTAATGCGACAATGCAAACTATTTTCTTATGGGAACTGGAGTAAATGGATTTCAGTACCTGTCAATTTCCTTCAGATTGTGTTTGTAGCTGCACATTTGTACTGTCAAGTAACTGATAAGCCATTTTGGATGGAAAGCGGCAAATTTGAACCAGTAATTTGTGTTCAATATAATTGAAAACGTTTAAAATGCCACGGTCTATCAATCAGCTCCTAAATGGTGGAGCTGTTAGAAGTCGGGGTTGGGAGGACGTTGGTGTTCTCACGGGCGCAACACCTCGTCTTTAGCATGGGTCATCAAAATCATTCAGAGAAGACAGTATTATCAGAAATTGCCTAAGGGAGTGTATCGTTAAAGCATATTTAGCACGATTAATACTGGCGTGGGGTTGGTGGCGCTGTGTGGTTGGCGAGTAGTCTTATTTTTTTGGTAACTCTTGATCTATATCGGAGGTATTTGTAACTTTCCATTTGGTAATAGAAGGTATAAGGTCTTGTTGAATGTCTGCATTCAGATTGAAAGGAACGATATGGAACCAACTCAGCATAAGCAGGTTGGCTTCAAGATGGCTGGAACGCACATTAGCTGTTTTAAATAAGACTGGTGGTTGAAGTCAACAGAAGTGACAACTGGGACGGAGTAAGCTCCTTCTTTCTCGAACACCGTTTCTCATCCTGCGTGTCTTAATGTCAAGCAAAGCTTCTCCAAGTCAGCAGACTCTTGAATCGCCAATTAAGAGGCTACGGTTGCTGCCACTCACATTGGATTCGGACCCCATTACTCTCTCTGAACAACGAAGTATTTTTTATGACTAGCTTGACATATTACTATGAACTAGCTTTGAAGTTCGAGAAGCTGCTGCATCGTAAGTTAGGCCCCTATTTGGGTGCCACCTTATTTAGAACCAGTGTTGTGGCTAACAACATGGTAATCACCGCAACAACAAATCTCTTCCAGTAAAGAGGTTCATGAACCAATTTGTGCGAGAAGCAGATAGTCAGAAGTTGCTGAAGCAAAGAAGGAATCAGTGTCTGCATCTATTGAAACCGAAACCTTGTGTGGCAATCGCTCTGGTATTTTCTTGCTCTTATGCGTGTGCGCTGGCATTCGGACGTTTATTTCACATTTCACCTCGCTTACATGCATCCAGTCTCAATTAATGCCTTCAAATACACAGTGAGAAGTCGAAAGGTACCAGAGTAGTAGTAGAAAAATGAAGGTGCCGCATCAAAAGGGCGCAAAAGTTAACTAAAACCAGAATAAGTCCAAGGATTAAGAGAATATTTTCGTCTATAACAGAGTATAGTCTCTCGGGAAAATTAAACCCAAAACAGTAGCATATACGAAACCTATGTGGCACTTTTCGGTATAATAGCCTATACTTTTATAAAACCTGCATTTACCTTTTAGAATTAAATTACATTATTTACAAAAACTGTGCAAAATTTTTAAACTTATTTTACGGCAGAATCAACCAGGTAGTGTTCTAACAGCTCTCATAACATAGTCTTACTTAATTTTCGGTTGTAATATATTGAACTTTATGTGCTTAGAACCTGCCGCGCAATTCAGTCTTCGCTCAGACCTTTGCTTGCCAGGATGAGGGGGACCGGGCGCTTAAAAAGACTTTCCTTACGTTGTATGCTTTATGTTGTAGTCATTCCCTCTTTAAAAGGTAAAAATTCACCTGATTATGACATACAGGAGCCACGAACAGAAACCAAGGTGAAGAAGTGTTTGGGTACGCACAAGGACAAATCACGGTCGACTGACTCTGAGTTGCATAAATCAAAACGAAGGAAATGTTCTGTTGAAGGAGAAATCTATCAAAGTTCCTCGTACGGTATAAGAATAAAGCACGTGGAACACTCCTCCTTTACAGGAAATCCGGTCCTAGGTATTGCGAATGGGGCTCCGCATTCTGTTGTTCCGTCCGCACCCTCAAAGACTCTTGCACCCTCTGTCATGCCGAGGGGCAGATCGTCTAGAAGTTCACGAAGAACAAGTAGACCGATCCGGTCTTCTCGCCTCTCTAAGGCTCTTCAAGCCGGTTCTTTCAGAATTCCCTCGAGGTCATCTCTTCCAAGTGGCGGAGTGTTCGCAAATGAAGCTGGTTTAGCCGTGTTAGAGGCTTGTCGTAAATCGTAATCTATTCATATTTGATCCTCCTTTCAAGGTGGCTGCACTGTAGAACCTAAAATGTGGACCGATGAATATTCACCAGCATCCGTGTCAGAAATGATCTTGCACTCTAATGATATTGCCCCTTTGGTTGAATGGATGAAGCACTGGGATGCCGAATCGCAGACTGCTGGCACCAGAAGTAAATTCTTTACTGACTAAACATAATGTCTACAGCTTCATCTAATTCTTCTGCTAACAAGCCTTTGAGGTATAAATGAATCGATCTCGAGAACTCTTTCTATAGAAATAAAATTCATGCTTTATCCTTGACGGAATCTTTGAGCTCTTGGCGTCGTTCTGCATATCTTATTTTTGGGCCCATAGGTTGTGGCAAGACTTCTCTCGTTTACGCGCTCGCTACGCAATATGGATACAAAGCACGTCGTCGAGTTCTGACCTGACTTCTTGGATGTGTCTCATGTGTCACATTTTGTCTTGTCCTGCAGGTGTTTGAAATGAATCCATCATCTTGTCGTTCTGGGAAGGAAGTGACATCTCAATGCTCACCTCTTATGCTATCTCAGCACGTTTCTACAGAATCCTTACTAAAGTCCCATTGCAGTTCTGACGTATCCGAAGGTGGGTCAACATTTGCTCCCATTTTCCTGTCCCGAAAGCGGTCACTCCTACAAAACATCCCCCATGCGATGTCAATGAAAAGCCGTACATCTGGTGAATTTTGTTCTAGCCTTCAAGACGTTCCCTCTGAATTTTCAATTATTAATGCACTCTTTCGGCTGTGTAGGTCTCAAACTCATTAACAAATCACTTATTCTTTTTGACGATGTTGACTTGCTCTTTGACACCGACCGAGGATTCTGGCATGCGGTTGGTAAGCTCCTTCAGATGGGTCGACGGCCGATATTCTTCACCGCATCGGATCCTTCCGTTCTTCGTGAGATCCCAGTTCCTTATCGAACTTGTAAACTTCTGCCTCTAACATCATCCGTAGGCTTAATTCTTCGTTGTGATTTGTTCATCGTTTTCGCAATGACTTCCCACTTTTATCCTTTCTCCAGACCTTAGTGAAACCCGTCTTGCAGCGCATTTGTGATTCTCGCGGTCTCATTTTAACTGATTCGCTCATGCTAGCCCTAACTCGTCGTGAGAAGGAAGATTGTAGCTTTGATATTCCTGGTCGCATCTCTTCCACTGCAAGTGAATTGGTCAACAATCAAGAATTCTCAGATATTCGGCATTCAGTCGTGCGTCTGCAGTGGTTCCTAGGTTCTGGTTATCAATGCCTTGATAATGTGAGTTGATTTCTCAAAAATATTCATTGAGGCTAGATTGGTTTGTAATTTATTTACCTCTCCCACTTTAGGAGAGCACTAAAATGAGCGGTTATGATCTCATAAGCGCCAACACCAAAACGTTTTATCGTCTCTTCAGTCTTTCCCTTAATATTCCTCGGGATTCCTCTCAAGATCCTACGAAACCAATCGGTGATGAGTTTGCGGATATTTTTGCCTCTGATGTCGAGAAAGAACCGCCGAAGTCCGAAGAACATGAAGGGCAAACGGTAATTCTAACATTCTTGCGTTTATGCAGATATCGTTCACGAGGAAAGCTTCGAATCCATCAAAGCGTAAATATTATTATTTGTGAACATAAGTTCGATTTAATTAACTCATTCTAATACATTTTATGGGATTTTACTCAGAGGACTAAGTTACTGGTCTCTGAGTCACCTATGCAAATTGTACCCCTAGCATCAATATCAAGGTTAGAATGCCCACGGATTTGTCATGTCGCATTTTTTAGATTTAAAACCATTACCTTATTTGAACTTCAGAAATTTAAGCTTAATCTTTTTGCACATGAGTATCGCGAAGTCGGATATTGAGGTGTCTCGTCCATTATCTCACTTGCACTACTCCTTGTACCTCTCTTTATAATTAGGAAACGTCGGCTGTCGTTAGACTTTCCATAGCTCAATGCGAAAAATTGTCAGTCGATGTGCTCTCTGAACTTTGCCGTGCTACTGAATCGCAGGCCATTTTGGACATGTGCTCTGCAGTTTGCGGTCGAAATGAAATTTCTCGAGGCATAGAATCTCTGCCATTAAGCATCAGGTCGTCCCCAAATCTGATGACTAGTTTTGGGGATTTCTGTTCTGCTCCCCTCTCTGGGATTGATCCAGTCGGTATCAATGGCACTTTTGCTTGTGAAGAAGAATGGCGTCGACTTCTACATTTAACTACCTTGCGTAACTTTACGCGTCTAGAGCAGCAGCTACTCACTCTTCCTGTGGATTCTGAAAGTCTCGCTTTTGGCAGCTATGTGGACGAACACTCGACCGAGGACTCTTTCTCGTGAGTTTTCACCTTTATCATATATAGGTGAAAAACTATTGATTTTCTCATTAAATGTCTTTCTCTAGTTCTGCGGCTTTTGCCAAGGCCGTGGGCAGTCTTGCTAGTTTGAGAGCCTTCAGCGCGGAAAAGAAGTTGGGAGATAGTTTTTTGCAGAGGGAATCTGCGCTGGATCTCCTCCCATCATTGAGGAGTATTGGCAGGGCGGAGATGTACCGAAAGGGTTTGGCTACTAGAAGACGGTTAGCTACTTTCTTTTGCAGCTTATTCTTAAATTGATCCTATGCTGTTACTATGGCATTGTAATTGAGTCATTAATTATTCACGGTTACACTGGACTTACTTTTTCATGCCTTAGGTTCTTCCACTACTTCGACCGGATTGGTTTGCGTCTGCCGCAGGATGTTTGCGAATTTCTATCCCAATAATATCTTTTACTCATTTTTAAATGGGGAATGTATATTTGAAGTGAATGGACATTTTCTGGTATTCGTTGAAATTCTCATTTCGGAGATGAGCAGCAGTAGTTGACTAGTGAAAAGGCTTCTTCTGAGTACGGTTCTCAAACCTTTGTCTGTTTGGTGCATCAATTCAGACGAGTGGTGGATCCTGCTCGGTTAGAGTGGGAAATGTTTGATCTCACAAGTCGGAGTTCCATGTGTCACTGTTTTCGGTAAAAGCTTGTGCTATGGAGGTGTTCCGAGCGGAAACCACTTCCTTAATTACAGACCTTTCGGTAGGGTCGAAGCAGTGGTTGGAGTCGCTCCATAAGTGTCTGTCGGGCTATGAACACTAGAGATTTGCTCTAAAAGCAACGTTACACGGGCCACGGAACAACTGCGTCGTGTAGTTGGGTTAGTGAAGTCTGTTGGTCATTAACATCGCAACAACTTCAAAGGGAAGAAATTGATATCAGCAGTAGGAGCTGTAGTGTATACCACTGTGCTTAAATATGCCTTGATAGGGGAGGTGAGAAATCAAAATCGGACACAAATCCGGCGCGTGAAGAGTGTGAAAATACCCTTTCAGAATGACACCTGTTCCTCACCTCATTTGTCATTCCCCATTTTCTTTCTTTCTGTACACGATGGAGAATAAAGGCTTTGCAACCAACCCTCTCCTGAAGTCCGAGGTTCAGCGGCTTAGGAGTAGGCAAGCTGATACTATAGGAGCTCTCCCTCCATAAGCGAGATCTTTTAGCCATCTTAGTATATTTGATTTGGAATGTGGGAAGGAATCTTTTTAATTCATAAAAATAAATTTGGAATCTTAACCAATCAAAGCAGTTACAACAACAAGTTTGACTACCATTAGTTAGGTATATTTAATTAAAAATATAACGACTTTTAAGTTATCTAAGTCATACATTCTAGAAGTGCATCGTAAGGTTTTAACCATCAATAGTTGACACAGTATTCAGTTCGGCAGTAGCTTCGGATTCGTCACTTGTGTTGGCAGGTTTAACCCTTCTTAGTACGTATTTGAATCTTGACGGCAAGAAAGCGATTTTTATAATTATGATTATTCTTCTCATCTCTCAGCATCCCACTCACTTAAAACTCGACAATTCCGTTTAAGTTTTCCCGGAAAAAACAGCTGCAGATGGGTTTGAGCTACAATTGCGGCCCAAATGTGAGGCTGTGCAAAGTTTCTAGCCTAGTACAAAGTGTAATACATTAAGGCTAATAATCTGCATGGCAGTATAAACATCCTCCTCCTCATCTTAAACGTGTACATTTACCCTGCGTTCAAGACTGCACGATTAAATGTAATCCAAACAGACGCGAAGAATGTTACCAGGTAACCTGAAGACCTGTGTTAACTTTGACATTAGAATTTCGGAACCAATGAAGGTTAAAGGTGAATGATTTAAGCATATTCTCTCTTACCAGTCTGTATGTCATTATTTAGGATTAGTGTCTTTGCCATTCATCATCTGGTTAATTAAACATAGTTGGTGTTTAAAATGATCGGGAGTCGGATGTTTGCCCTTTATCATTTTCCGGGCATTATTTCGGGTTCTCTGACCCAGAGATAAGGAATATTTGACAAGTGAAGAGGGAGAAGTGACAACATCAGTTCAAGACGCTGAAGATAACAGTTCGCAGAGTTTGATCGGAATACCTATGATTCAAGCACAATAGTTATTTGGCTTTTTTCTAAGCTTCTCGTCGTCTTCTAGACTAGCATCCAGAGAAACATTGACACGGCGATCCACGACGCCATTAAGCACTCGCTTCCATCAGGGTAGTCTAAAGGGAACAAAAATTTGACCTTGTTGAAATCAAGTAGAAATCAATTGGCGGTAAAAAAGGTTTCTTTCAAGAATATCAAGCGAAATCAAAAATTCTTCTTATCGTGTCTTGAACTCACGATAACTACTGTTTGAGTCTTCACCACTCTCCAGCACTGATCTCATTCCTATTAGCCCAGTGCTTTTAATTGAGAGCCGCTAGCTCCTGATTCACTGTGTCCTATAGTCGAATCAGGCGAGACATTCGATTGTATACTAAAGCATGGTCATAAATGACTCTGTGTTCCTTTGTGCCTTATCTACTTCAATAATACCGATCATCAGCCAACTTTCAACAGGAACTGGGTATCTATCGGACAATAAAGTTTTAAATAGGTTTCATACCAGTAATAATGGTTTTATTGACGAATTTGTTCTCTCACATACCTCAAAATGCATATCCTCGCAAATAAAAATATGGATCAGAAGTTTGACAATACCTTCCTTTTCAGTGATTCATTTATGCTGCTCTTTTATTAAAGTGTCATTCAGAGCCAAATTTTATTGACAGGAGACGAAGTAGTGTAGACGCCTCAACTGAGTGTCTAAATGGCCTGTCCTGGTAGCTGTCTTGAAGCAAGATGGCTTTCATCAGCTTACTGAACCAGTGAGGTAATTTTTATTCATCAGTCTTCTTATACCGCGTTGTATGCTAAAAATGCACACCGGGCTGCATTGGTGACGCGGCGGTTTGGTTGTGTCATGACTTATCCCACTTTCTCATATCTTCCTCAATGGGCCTACATTTGTATGAATGGATTTTTCAGTGTGCGTAAAATTTAAGTTTGGTGTCATGGCATCTTTTTGCTATGAGGGTGGTAAGCAATTTCTGATTGTGCTCGAATGTGTGCAAATCGGTCTCCAAGTCTAGGATGGTAATTTATGAGTAAAGGAAACCGCCGAATTTGAGGAATCACCGCAATCTCATTTCGTAAGTGTCTTTGTTTAAGAATGCGTTGGCTTACCGCCAGCTACGAAGTCACTAAGACGTTCTACTGGATAGAGGTCGGCCTCCATATAGGGGCAAATGTTGGGAGGATTGAGTTGTTGATGACTCTGGTAGCCACTGCGCCGCAGATAGATTCGCTGAAGACTGGGAAAGATGTCGTTCCAGAAGGTGCACCCCTTGTCATGCAGCGACTTCCTCACTGTTGATGTAGTCAGATCGATTTCAAGGTAGCTCTGGTTGGTTAGAAGGAAGTTAGGCCACGCCACACTAACGTCGATTCCCTTCATGTCTGCGGTCGCATTGCTATTTGCATGAAAAAAAGTGAGGCTGACAAATTCTGAGTGGATGGGAGCACCCATAACCCTTGCCTACTGCAAACCACAACGTGATTTGATCAGAGGGGCAGTTACGTAAAGCAAGAAGAATGTTTGGAATGCCTAAGCACTTGTTGGAAGTGCATTTTTTCAGATTCTGCTGACTAAAACGGCATACTGTGTTGGCTATTTTTGTGAAAAAATTAAGAGCATTTTTCTGTTTTTTAGAAGCAAAGTTTCGAAATCTCTCTGAGCTTAATGTTCCTGATGTCAAATGGTTTGTAAAAGCAGGCGGCACAGGAAGCTCACTTTTTTACAAACAGTATGTGCATTCTTAGTTGTCTGGGATTTACCTCCACTTCCGTCACAAGAAGGCACACAATAAATTTAAACCACTTATTAACTCTTAACTTCTGTTTTGTGGGCACTTGGGCAAGAATTTTACGGCCCAGTTCCTCTGTATGTTGCAATTCATTAAGTGCTGTAGATGCATAGCTTCAATCCCTTTTGGGAAAGATTAAGTTACTACGTTGGTGGGCGGCGTGAGGCAAGACCGACCTCGAAATATACCAATTCTAATTTGCATTCCTTAATGTTTAACCTTAACGCATCGGAGGATTCGTGACGACTTCCAACGAAAAGGTTGGAAGCGGAGCGCTATTAACAACTGCAGATGTGATACATGCCCAGGGAAATCGGTGAAAGAAGTTAGAGATGTTGCATTGATAAATCAGCTTAACTGCGTCATTTATTGAGAGTGCACATTTTTTATGTCCTTTCCATTGAGATAACTAACACTGGAGACAAAGCTTGATGAAGAAGAGGGTATCATAAAATAAAATTCAACATTTCGGCCATTCTTTTATTTTGTGTTCTGGCCACATGGGCACTTAAGTCTTGACCTTTGCACTTCGGCAGAACGGCATGACCCTAGACCCGGTTGACAGGCCTTACTCCATCTAGTGGTCAATGCTACTTGTTCGGGCCCACGCCTTAGACTTCAGGGGGATCTCTGGACCCCAGACTTGGTTGATTCTGCTCACATGTAATAAATCCCTTAAACTCACATCACAAAAGATGTGTGTGGGTGTATGTGTGCTTAAGTACACTACCTTACCCTCTATCAACAAACGGAAGTGAGATTTTGCAGCGTCAAAACAGATTCAAAAAACAGCAGCAGCGATAGAAAATGACTTCTCGCTGGAGAATTGTGAGTTGCCTAGGTTATTATTGCATAGTCGTGGCGATTGTCCGTGATTGCCATTCAATGTAACCAAGAGAAAAAAAAAGTTAATCGACGTCCTTATTTTAAGTTATTCAAACCAGCGCAACAATCTACTCAAAGTCAGACTCAATAAATTAAGTCAACTGGACTTCACCTATCAGCCATGCCACTCAATGAGCCTCCTATGGGTATTAACTTCAAATGGCACTGTTTTACATCTCACAAAAGTGGCCAACAACTCTCAAGGTAAATCCTTTAGATGGTATTACAACATTGCTATACTTTTTAAGGACCAGCTAGACTTGATGGCACGTCCAAAAGCATACGAACTGCAGGATGCAACCAAGCACTACACCAAAACCTTCTAGAACCTGCGAGTGGACATTACTATGGGTATGAACTGCAACTGTTGCGCTGAGCTTGTGATTTCACCTTGGAAAGGACACGTATCAGACCGAAGAACTTTTACCACCTACCATAACAAAGCCCGTAGAGGTTAATTAGGTGGTTCGGCCAGCCACAATGGCATCTAGTAGTTTGATTGACAAAATTCAATAAACATAGGTAAGTATAACTCCAGATTGTCTTTTTTGTTTTAAAAACTGCATGCCTTAGTAGCCGAGGTTGACGTTTTAATGACACTTTACGCCTAAATGCAACATCGCCTTGACTCACCCAGTCCTTGCGAAGTTGGCCCAGTATCGCATGACTCGCCTACTGAGTTCGGCTTCCTCTTCCGTAAAGTTATAGTACTCTGAGGTGAATGTTTGTGAAAACGGCATCCCAAAGACATACTCAATCTCATATCCGTGCATCACACCAGTCCATTCAGGGAAAGTACTTCCTTTAGTCTTGTGCACAAAGTTGTAAAATTGTACGCTCGACCCCTCGATTTTTGAAAGTAGCCTAGCAAATAGCAGAGTAGGACAGACAAAGTCCACTTCTCCACTCAAATCGTCAAACCGATTGAGAAAAGCCAAATTCGAAGTCAGGGCATTGTACTGCAGACCTGTATTGTAAGACGTCTGTTCGGGAATGTCAGGGCTGTTGAGTCCATACTGCAATGTGACAATGGCTGGGAACGGTTCAACCAGCTGGCCAATGCTGATGAAACGAGTTTGAATCAATTGGAGATAGTCAATCTTCGCCTTTGTTAACTCTTCTAAAGACGGCAATGTTACAGTTCCATTTTCATGAAGGAAGTTTATTCCTTTTATTCCCAGACCGTAGAGAAGCCAGTACATCCCTTCATTGGCCACATTACCTATGAGAACGTTAGGCGCATTGCTTGAAGTGATAGAGGAGAGAATGGTGTCGGGACAGTTGGGCAGAAATTTGCCGTCTAGAACAGGTCTCATGTAGACGTCGAAATACTGTGATGCATCGGAAAGAAACGGCACCGGCCACTGGGGCTTAGTGGACATAGCCGTTAGACGACTGGCACGTCGTTTGGTAGACGCTACGGTGAGTTCCGATAGCTTGTCGAAAAGAACGCTCGCAGGTAGTTTTCGAAGGCATTCAACCTCTTTTGCCAAATCGTGGGCTTTATCTGTGCAGTTACAGGCTTTGATAAACTACAAAGAAATTCATTTAAATTTAATTATTCTTGGTAAAGACACAACGTGTATTGCAAAGCAATATTACCATAATTTCCCCTTCGTAAAATGCAGAACATGACCACAGGACTTATTTGTAGGGTTGCGCTTTGTAACAAAAGTAAACAATTGCAATTAGGATCACATTAAAATGATGCCCTTCCGTGCGAGTTCAGAATGCCTCTTATTGTTTATGCATTAGGTATTGTGAGGAAAAAAATGCACTTTAGTAAAAAAAAGACAGAATAATCGTACTTGTTTAACATTTTCTTAATGCGAAAAAAGAACGTCAAATTTACAAGCAACGAAACACAAAATATTGAAAGCTAAGCTGTGTGAACCTTTTTGTGGTGTTTCAGTGTAGATTAGTTGTTTGACGTTTTAACAGGGTGTGGTGAACATTTGTGGTTTTTACTCTACTTACTTTACGTAAGCAGAAATGACCTTGTTTATTCTCAAGTGGAAAATCGGCAATGTGAAGCGGTGCTCTGTGGAGCACAGGATGTACCCTTCGAGTCGGCCCAGATGGCCCTTAGAGCTGACATTTGACGGTCTGGACAATGTCACTCCGCCCTGTGGATTCATTTTAGGCCGCTCACGCATATTTCCAAACTAAATAAAATATCTGTTTAATAAAGTACACAATTTTTACATAAAAGTCACGAAACTTCGCATTTTTAAAATGGTTATGGCGCTATTTAAGGTGCGCACTGTCTCAAAGTGGGAGTTCCCAGACCTGTGTGCTTGGTTAAGGGAGAGGAGGCAGTCGACGGAATACTTGAGCTGCGTACTTAATTTTCATATTCAAGAGCAGTTCGCCCATCTGATAGCATCAAACTACCTGAGGGCTAATGATATTTCGTGTCCCGGTGTCGACTCACCGCGTTTCGCTAGAACGTAATGCATTTTCCGCACAACGGTGGCAAAAATGTGACCTACCATCACTTCGCTCGTGAATTTTCCATTAGCAGAGTAATGAAAGGGCCAATCCTGATGGCACCCCTGTGCAAAGGGGAAAATCGCAGCCAACGGATTACATTTTTTAAAATGTGCATTTAAAGCATGATAGGTGATCGTGAAATTCCTTAATAGCACGAAAGAGTTGTTTTAAAGCATGGAGGAAACGTGGTTGAGCTCTTTTGTTTGGCTACTTAGTTTAGCATAAATGAGGAGAGGTTTGGCGCCATCAAAGCAGACTACATTAAATAATACAAAAATTTTTTGGCTGAAAAGAATGAGAAAAATATTCTCTTTTACTATATTGGTGAGTATATATGTCTGATGAGACCGCTTTTCAGGGGATGTTGGGTTTTATGTAATGAAGGCTGTCTCCTGCCACCTCTTGAGTGGAGTGTGCAGCATTTGCCCCATTCATGTGCTCTTGATCTCACTCAGGTGCGACCCCATCGGATGTCATTTTACCAAGCGCGATGTAGAACTAATGACATAAATTCCCATCATTAATGCACACAATCCACCACCTAATAAATCAAATCAAACTAAACAGTTAAGAAGAGTTCTGATTTCTGCAGCAGACCGAAGGCGACCCCGGGCAGTGTGACCAGCGATATCGCCAGTCAAACAAACAATGGCTGCAAAATTTTAAGTCATTTGCCCTCTTTATGAACACCAACTTAATGGGAACCTGAACAGGCGTTCCAGACAGTTCAAATACGGTTCCTTCGCAGACAGCGAATTAGAGACTGCAGTAATCGTGTGTGAATGCAAAAGAGATGGACACTTTTATTACAAACACGTATGGATCTAGTTAAAAAAAGATATCCGCTGTGACGGAATGATGCTGGTGAGGTGAAGCATTGCCCCCCTCGTCTCGCCCAAATGACTTTTCCATTAAGGACGAGGTATACCGCCCTTGCTTAATAAGATTCATTACTGCCACTGCGATCACCCATTAAAACTAACAGACTAACTCCCACTGTTTTAAACGAGGGCTGGAAATAAAATTTTCTAGTGTTTTGTTAACCTGGCCAATTATTAGCATCCTTGTGTATGCCACGATTAGTGCAGGCGGCTACTGTCATTCAGGTCGTAATTACAAAGCAGAAAAACGAAAAAGTAAAAGACTTTTATGTAAACGGCGCTTGATTAAGGTGCATTTCACCTAATTACACAAAAGTTACAGACAAATAGGTATTCACTACCTTTATATGGAGGGCAGACTTTAAGTTAGGAGGCAATTAATTCATAGTCTGCCATAACCTGTCCTATGAGGTAGTTTTAATCGTATTTCCATTTGCCATCATTACTAAATGCTGATTTTTGACAATTTTATGCTGCCTTTTCTCTTCCTTCGTGTGCAAATCCATTCCCGTCTTCACCGCCATTTCACGATCCCCAAAGTTTTTGTCGAAAAGTTGAATAACCGATTCTCCCACACATTCTCTGTCAGTTGCCCACGGTTTCGGTAGAAAATTAACATGGAGCATGTATTTATGACGTCGGTTAGAAAGGCAACATGGACTGCTAGAAAAAGGAAAGTTTTCTAGACTCCGACCACACTGCCCACCTGCACCGTGCACGGAATGGAGGCTGCGATGACAGCGGTGATGAGATTTCATCACCTCCACAAACCATGATGCATCAATGATGTCACCATTAAAAAAAACAGTTATGCCCTTATTTTTTCTTTGTCCGTGTGCTAGATACGGCGCTTGATCTGTTTGATCAGAGCTAAAAATTACAGGGATTTCAGCAGAGATGAGCTGCTTGCCACCATCTATTTGCTTTCTAAACACCTTTACAATAGCATTGTTGTTAAGGCAACGGTTTAGCTAAAACCTCACTCATTTTTTGTGTCATAAAGGCTCAATCATTTGTGTATCCACGGTCCTCGCAACGCCTATTTCCTCCAATGACTATCCACACAAAGAGTAGGAGAACATTCTTTGCAAACATATTGAACTATAAAAGTGCATTGCAATAGCTTTTCCTTTTAACTAGATGAACAATACAATCGTAAAATAGATGAGCTTTCTTGGTTCGTATTTAATGAATTGAGCTGCACTAAAGGGGATTAAGTGAGCATTAAGTGAGCTAAAGCACGATCCCTCTTTAGCACCGGCCTTACAACTGTTGACCTGAGAAACCAAAAAGGTAAACCGCATAGCGTTGAGTGCGCTAAATGACGGAAGCCATAATTGCGCCCTGCAGCTATCCTATGCTGGAGTTGTCTTAGTAATCACACGTTTAAAGTGACCATCGCCACAAAAAATAGCTGATTTCCATCCAATGAGCAGATAGCTACACAGGTTGCGTCGGAAGGGAGTAAGGATAATCATATGCCAACAACCATTCTTCGTAATTAAAGTGTGCGAACAGTCTGCAGAGTAGCGGACTTTTTATAGTAAGTTAAGCACAAACAAATACCGCTTAACGGAGTTGACTCAACGTGGATGGTCACGAGTCGTGGCAAATGTTTTATCGGATTTACAACAGCGGTGACGACTGACACATTGCAGCCCTCTTGGGAGTCATCAGTGGCTTCGATTCAGGGTTGCCTCTATCGCATTGCATCGCACCATGACCTTTGCTTAATTTCGTCTTCATCAGCAATACTGATTTGTGCCATTAAAAGTAACACTTATTGCGACTTTAATCATTTCAAATGGTGCAATCTGAAAAGAGTAGTAAAAATTTCTGCGTAGGTAAGCAAATTAGTGACTAAAAGGCAGTTCATTCCATTTTCTTCACAAAATCGTCCACTGATAAGGAGTACTTTCAACCAAATCTAGCATTTGATAAAAATACTTTTGGATGTACTATCCATGAAAGACTTACCTATGCCATTTATTCTTAAGTTGTGATGTTGTTACTATCGTATGAGGAGAAGGTTTAGCATACTTTGCACAAGCCTTATTATTCAGTCACTTTAATTAGCTTCCTAGGGCACGTCTATTTATTAGCTACATGTTCTTAAGATTATTCCTATGCAAAAACACACAATGATTATGTAACTTCTAAAGTGGGTATTAATTAGAAAGTGGTATAGTAACTCACCGAAATGCCTGCTTCGTGAGCAACGGGTTTTTGCCACAAAGCCCACCTACTCAGGGGACTGGAGCTTTGGAGTATCATCCGCTGGAAAAGCGGTCGAGAGCTTGGAGCTAGATAAAGCAGGCCTACACTGACTGCTCCAGCTGACTCTCCAAATAATGTCACTCTCTCAGGGTCGCCATTAAAGGCTCTGATATGATTTTGGACCCACTTGAGTGCGAGCTGTTGATCGAGTAATCCCATATTTCCTTCTATTTGTGACTCAACAAAGAGGAAACCGAAAGGACCCAGTCGATACTGCATAGACACCACGATAACGTTTTCCGTGGCAGCAAGGTACCTTCCATCATAGACATCCAGCGTTGAAGTGCCGCTAAAGAACCCACCCCCAAATATCCAAACCATTACTGGAAGGGGTGAATTAGACTTTGCTGAGTCTGATGGTACCCAAACATTCAAATACAGGCAATCTTCACTCATCTCTGTATTGTTCACCCAAATGCGTGCAGCCGGATTGGCCACGTCAAATCCGCCAGGAATAAATTGCCAACATGAATGGGGCAACATTGTGGCATTGAGCTGACCCTTCCACAAGTCAGCTTCAACTGGTGGAGCGAATCGCAGCTTTCCTGTGGGTGGCTTAGCAAACGGAATGCCCAGGAACGCATTCACGTGGGTTCCGTTGACACTCCATGTCGTACCCGTCATAGAGATACCTTCAGAAAGGTTGAGTTCCACATCGCCAACTCGCGTGGTGGAGGTGTTAGCAATAGTAGCTGGGATTAGTAGAATAAGCACGTATGAAAGCAGGACGGGCATTTTCAAACTGTGAGCTCGCAGTTTAAGTGCTTGCATGCATATGCATGTATATAAATTGTCTCAAGTATTTTGCTGTCATTCCAATTTGTTGATTGGTTAGCCGCACCAACCAATTAGCACGTGATTACGGGACTGAAGGCATAAGTCAGCGCAAATTTACGTCAAAGTGTGACCATCAATTTAAAAAGGTGCAACAAATCTACATTTTCAAATTCCCATTGTCTTTGTTGGACGTGATGCTGATATCGTGAATATCTTTTACATTGTTAAAAGCGACATTGGAAACTTCATCCAATTCCATCTCCACGCTCAAGTCTATATTTGTCTACATTTTGCAAGGGCGTAAAAAAACGGCAACATATTTTGTTGATAAGTTCAACCACTATGTTTGGGGAATTTGTTGAAAAGCATGTTTGTGTAATCTGAGATTACTTTGCACCCATCGATATTGAATTCAAATGATGTTTCTGACTCCTTCTTTGAGTCCAAAATCGCTAAAAGTGCAATCAAACATCGTTACCACTTTACTACATACATAATTAGGTTTTTCTTTAAGCTTCAAGCAAAAAGGTGCTTCGACATGAGTTTGACTAAAGTCAATACATGATCAGTGTTTCTTGTCCCCTTATGTGAAATGGGTGGTGGACTTGAAGGTAAAAATAAACGCTGAATGCTTTCAGTAAAGTTGCTTCTAATCATTGCATCTGACAGGAATTTTACTTGTTACAGATCATGGGAACGACTAATGTATGTGCAAACGAGAAATTCTTTCGAACTGCTGGTTAACAGTACCGAAGTCTGATTGATGTCATTTGACAGTGGTGAAGTTAGGCTTTGTAAAACCATTCGAGTTTTATGTTCGCAAAGGGGTGTCAGCGTTTAAACTCATCTTTGAGGTAGGCGGCACTTCACTGATAGGCGCTTACCAGACGTAGTCTACAAAGGAAAACATGCTCGAAAGTTAATTTATTGCGTGTACTTTCTGCATAACAAAAAAATCGCCGAAGCGGTCCCACCAGGGTGGGTACCAGCAGCTAAATGGATGAAGCTGTAGAATGTTAAATTACTAGCTCGTTGATCAGCTATCTGGTAATGTAGCACGTAATGCTACAGTAGTTTCTGGTTTGTAGGCAACGGAATAACAATTGTATAAATACAAAAGCAAATGACCCTTACACTCATTAGGAGTCATTGAAGGATGTCACACCTTTATCACTACGGTCATTAAAGTCAGGCAACTCCTGTGTAAAGATGACGGGAACGCATCGGCTGTTATGAGATGGAAATAAATTATGCGATCTGTAGTTCATTGTCGAGGTGGACTGAATTTAAAGACAAGAAAGTGGAAATAGTCTATTCTCGGACGAAAAAAGGACCATTAACATAGGAAATGGCTCCTCTTCGGATTTTCCTCTTTTACTGAAAGCGATATGATGCGGTGCTTGTAGCCAACTAATGAAAATTCCTATTCTGAGGACGACAGGAAACACTGCTTATTTAAGTGGAGCTACAAATGTTTCCTATAGTTTAACCGTTTACTCTTCGTCGGCGATACTACTTTGCCCGCGAACTGGAGTAGTATATGGAACTGACTGCGAAAAGGAAAATTAGGGTTTAGACATTCACTTCCTACTTCTTGTTTTGAAAGTACAAAAAGGGAAGGTCATTAATTTACTGTGTCAAGAAATTTCACTTTCCCTGTTGAATGTGATTTGGAACACCGAAACTACAGATACAACTTGGCACTCTTTTACTTTACACTAAATTTTCCTTTTGAGTACTGTTACTTCTATGGCGTTTGGGAAAGGCATGCGAGGCGAATCGAGACTTGGCTGTCCATTCCGTGTTGGGAATGCCAAAATTACAGAATGGGGCCTTTTGCTAAGGATAGAAAAGTCTGCGAAGATTTCCACTAAATACTCCTGTGCTGTTTCGGTTGGAATGTCATCAACAGCTGGAGAAGCATTGTCTATAGTAATTAATCATCCAAGAACGTAATCAATGAGGTGCACATGAAGGTGTCAACAAAGCGAACAAGTGGAGCATCTTCCAACTCTAGCACATGAATACGAGCTGGACGGATTTGGCGAAGCGGAAATGGAGTGAAGACTAAATGACTAAGGGGAATAAATGCAAAACTGTGTCCTCTTAAATAACCTTTGAAGTCCACCCTATAATTCGATCAGTCGTCCCTCTGCCCCGGATGCGGACATACAGATGGTTCCCCAACTGGACGAAAATCCGGATCCAGTAGACTTGCTCAGAAATCTAGGAGCGGGTCGTCAAGCTTACCTGTCCTTCAACCCAAGTTCGGTGACTGACGAAGTATGTTTGAGGAAATTTTACACGACCAAATAGGTTTTGATTGCTACTTCAATAGACGGACTGAGGGAAGCACGCTGAATGGTGGCTAGGTACTTCTGTGCATGTTCATCTCATTGCATGCATTCAGTTACGTAAGCTATAAAGGCCCAAGCATTGTGCTTCTGATGGGCAGCATAGCCCTTCCTGTGACCCCTTAGCTCTCTTATACGCTAACGGCCTACATTCTACCCCGGTGTCACAGCCCTCCGTCTTTAAGTAGGCTTTGAGACGCCACTCCACATTTGTACAACTATCGAAGCTGGAATGGTTTAAACTCAACTTTTTGGCCGTTAACTGCCCGATTTATTTAATGTCTAAGTTAATACCCAAAACCGTGATCAATGCTCGTTGCAAATAATAAGTAATTCATTCATAAAAGTGTCTTTGTTTTGTAAATGCGTGTTTTAGAGTTTCACACACTTAACACACACTTAAGTGTAGTTCGCCAAGCTCCATTGAACGAATTACGAAATTAAGAATTTCAATCTCGGTAAAAACCTAGAATGGGCGTGTTAAAATTTAAGTGTTTTATGCTGGTACAATGTATAGAACTGTGCTAGCGCGTGGTTTGATTCGCCATCAAAGAAAATTTTCTGTTACTTTTACTCCAACAGGGGGAATTTTCGGCGGAGGGTATGTTTAAGACCACGGAGTTTTCAATCTACGCAGATTTTGGTCGCCATCTAGATGAGACGATGTCTTGTTTATGCTATTTCTGCCGACTGCTTGTCGCTCCCCTATTCTACCACCCAATTGCCTCATTTGAAAATGCATTGCAGCATTTCTTGAGAGGAGACTCGGACCTTACAACTTGCATTCCCATGGAGAGTTCATCCTTATTGGAAAGTCAGTAATTTTTCACTCTCACTTTTTGTTTATGAATAGTCCACAGCGCAATTTGTTCTCCTAAATTTCATCTATAATGGCCAGTCTTAGGTGAGAGACTGAACATTACCTCCCCACTTGATAGTCACGACTGTGAGATTCTGTATAAAATTAGAGGTGACCATGAGAAGAATCGGAAATGTCCGTTGACTAATCATATATTTTTATTCTGAAACATAAAATAGGGAACAAAAAAACCTTTGTATGTAGTCTCTCTTTCTCCCTTCACAATTCATTACTTATTTAAACGCGCAAAAACCAAACTCATTTGAGTCGGCCCGACTTTAGCGGCGAAGCTTACTTATTCAAACAAATTTCTGCGATGCTCTATTTCTCGTACCGGATCATATTACTTGTGCGTAATTTAATCAGCTCCATAAATACTTCCGCTGGCGATCAAATAATGCGATGCAGGCATGGCGTCCCAAGTGCTTACCGTGGAGGAAGTAAGTCATAATGCTGATGCATGTTGTCTTGACGACATGCCAAATTGCCAAGGGGCTACTGGTATGCATGAAAGACTGTTCCGCCAAGAAGTAATGCGATCGCGGAGTCTAAAGTGACCGCAAAAGTAAAACGGGTAAATCGACACACGCTACACAAGTTTCCACTTTTTTTAAAGAATCCTTCCCGAGACCGTCTCCACATCAACCATCCATATTGCACATAACTATGAAACGAACGCTGCAAGAATCCCATTCAAAATCCAGCCAATCTAGTCATCAACTTTGGACTCAACTACGATGGTGACTCTTGGAAATTTGTACGATTACTGATTAGACTTAAAAATATTTCCATTCCATTCCATATCTCCATCATTAGCGTGTTTATTTTACGGTTCTTTGTCTCGATTTCAGTGCCAATAGGCAAGTTAGACGTAGTGGCTATTTAATGAGGTTCGCAGCCTACCAACACCTAGTGCTGCTTCATTTACGTTGGCATTTCTGCAGAGCACAGAAGTGGGGCAGTTGTACTCTTCAAATCCCCCGTAAGTATCCGCGATTAACGTTCCCATCCGCGGTTAGGGTGGGTGCCACCAATGTGGTCCCATGAGTCTCCTTAGAAGTCTAAAATAATGGTAGTTAGAACATGCATTAGCGACGTAGGCAAAGGATGGTAACTGATTGCATAGCCTAAAGGCCTTGTCGTTTTGCGTATGAACAAGGTTGGTGCTTTTATTACCTACGAAACGTTTTTCACGCCTCCGGTTCTCCTTGTGCTGCTCCCTTCGCATGATGCACTACTTTTCTGTAGTGGAGCTAACGCATAATCTTTGCGTTGTTTCCTGTTGAAGGGGAAACTGTGGCAAGCATCAACAAGTTGCCCGAGCGTGAATGAATGCTCAAGTCGTAAAAAAGAGTTGGAGGGGATTCATTTTTAATAAGTTTTGCCGCCTGTTTATTTTCCGTCCACTTGGAAGAACACTACAAGGCCACACATCCAAATGGCCGCTGGCATGCGCTCAAGGTTTTCCTTAGAGGAAGAGGGACTGGGCACAAATTTGGAGAATTCGAATCAATCACTTATGGTCTTTGCATTTGAAAATGCTAAAGGTGGGATGTAGAGGTATAGGTGAGAGAGTCCATACCTTTTAATACCTTATAAGCCGGCATTGCCTATAAACAACTGCAAATTTTAGCTAACTGTGCAAGGCACTTGGAAGTCGGATATGCAGGTCCTACAAGCCCAAATTCTCGATTTCATGATGCCATGCGGCACCAATTTTATTTCAATATAAATGCTTAATTCGCATTTGGTATTTAAAAACGACCATTTTTGATTGTTAT